GTACATACGCGCACAAACACTTTAATAAAGCGAAGTTAATAGCGAACACTATGCAGTAAAAACTCAAATTAAAATATAATGTGCATCTCTTATCATTCATAAGGCTTACCTGACTGGAAATGATTCGTTTTACTATCTGATTTTATTTCTACCTCGACGCATATAAATCCTTTAGCTTTACGACGGCTTTCATTTCGAAATGCGCACAACCGTATTGTGAGTTCCCAATATCATGTTGTTGATGAGCCAAACACAAATATCAGATATTCCATCGTTCTGGAGCAGTAGCCAATTTCATGCCACCGTAGCAAACTATAGCATTTGCCCCATTCTGATTGGTTTGCTACGTTTGACCGTAGCAAACCAATCAGAATGCCGTATATGCCAATTTTCGCTACGGTCAGATTCGACCTTAATGAATCTGACCGTAGCGAAAATTGATCATATATGGGCAACACGCTACGGTGTATTTCTGAAGGATGATATTTTCTAAGCTATAGTCCATTGCGTAATGACCCGCAAACGGGCAATTACAACCGTATTTTCGGGCGGGAATTCTTTAAATGTCATCAATTTGTCAAAATAAAATGTTTTAGAACATATAAAACTAAATAAAATAAAACCTTGAAATATAAACAAGGAAAGTAAACAAAATATTGCTAAATTATATTTTAGATTGATTTTATGATCCATGTTAGAACTGGCCTATGGAAAATCTGACCGTAGCATATGCTACAGTTGCAACGGTCTAAATCCGCCCCTGATTTAGTCCGTCCTTAATGTCCAGCCTTTCTATTTCCACTTTAATTATTGCACTTTTCATATCTTTGTTTAATCGCTTCCACTTTCGCTCTATAAATTTCTTTTTCTTGTCATCACTACCTTTATTTGTGTTGAGACTGGTATTACTTGTTTTTGGATCTGGTTTGGAGCTCATAGTAAAATACATAAGCTTACTGCTATTTTCTCTCACTCGATTATCATGCATTTCTAATTCTTCATTATCCTTTTCAACTAAATCAGAATCTCCAAGATTAAGGGCAAGTTTACTAGCCTGTTCGTGTATGCTTTGAAACTGTCGAATACAGGCATCTGATGTCTGATGGTGTATGATGGTCGAAGTGTGTCAGATGGTTGTCAGATGGTGTATAATGGTGTAGGGTGCACGGTTGTACAGGGAAAACTTGTATTCTTTTGTGTTTTTTAAATATACATTTCACCTTATGCCTGAAGTTTGTTTAAAAGCGTGATTACAAGCACGAGTTAACCTTTTTCTACTGCGCTTGAGCGCGTTACGTCAACTAAATGATTCAAATATGACGTTCCACGCGTGTCGAACAGCTGTGGTGCTGTGGTATAAAAGAGATACAACTAACCTAAAAATGTAAACAGAACTTCTCGTTTCGACGTTTCGCTGAGGGTCCTTTTCAATTTTTTTCTCGTGTAGTATAACGATAGGCATCCCAAAAATGCGTGGTGAAAATTTTTACCCTCGCGCGTGGCGCTCGAGCGTGTATCGAGTCTACTTTGTTTATTATTATGACAAGGTTGGCAAGATTTTTAACGGAAATTTATTACAACGTTTACTATAGAGTATGAATATTTCGCAAATTACAAGCAAAAACAATATAAAATATACATAAATTCAAACACTGCAAATTTTACTACGTTCTTTCAAAGATTTAATTTCAAAAGTTCATTCTAAGGATGTTAAAAAAGCCAATTCTTTTCGGCTTTTTTGCAAAATTTTGTCAAAACTATGCTGGGGTCACCTAGTCTCGGATAACGTGATATTTTTTAAATCTCGAAGAAAACGATTGGCTGTCGCATCGGAATCATGCACAACAGCCAAAAAGAATTCGCTAGTTTTTGCCATCCTTAGAATGAACTTTTGAAGTTAAAACTGAGAGAATGTAGTAGAGTTACCAGTGTTTGAAATTATGTATATTTTATATTGTTTTTACTTGTAATTTGCGAAATATTCATACTCTAGTAACCGTTGTAATAAATGGCTGTTAAATTATTATTATTATTTTATTATTATTATTTTATTATTGTTGTTATACAACAGCTGGTAGTATGCGACTATGAAATAACATCATGGTAGTATAAAATTCCATAATTAAACGGCATCAAAAGAATATTATGTGTTCTACTAAATTTTACTAGCAGGTAAAAATGTATCACTTCTTGGTCAAATAAAGAAAAGAAGCTTTAAAAATAAGACTTTATATTTTATAAGGATTAGTATTCAGAAAATTATTAAGCAAAGCAAGGTGGACTCCGTTGCTTTTATCAGGCTTTTATATACACTCTGTGTAATAGAGGGTGGCGGTGAGTACATGATTGTTGTAAACAATACGTAAACTAAATCAGTATCTAATATAGAGTTTCAAAATACAGCAGACACTAAAGCCCTGGGCAAACTAGGAAACATTGTTGCGGAAACATCCGTGATTCTCGATGTTTCCTCAAATGTTTCCATGTTTGCCCACCCGTGGAAACATTGTTGCGGAAACAAAATTTGCTTCCCGGGAAGCAAAAATGTTTGCTACGAAATTCAGAAACATTTGATGTTTCCCTATGTTTCTCACGAATGTTTCCTAGTGCTTGCCCACTCTAACTCAAATAGCATGGCTTATTTCCTCGTTAGCTTTCTCCCCCCCCCCGCCTTCTAATAAACATTCAATCTTGAAGCACTGAAATAAATGAGCTTCCATGCTCTATTTAGCCCGTTCTTGTCAATTTGCCATGCTAAAATTTGTTCACCATCTTTGACCATTTTAGGAGAGAGGGTATTTCAAATTCCTCCGCGACATTTGAGAAGACGTCTGATTTCTGAGGTCAGTATTGACAGAAAATTGTACGAATAGTAATTATAATTTTAATCAGCACATGTATATTTTAGTAACAAGAATAACAAATCAATCACTCAAATCAAAAACTTTAAATTTATTAATGTGTTACTCGTTCTTGCTTACTAGAAAGTAATTGGGGATACCTACTACTACCGTCTAACTATACCTATACTTCTACCGTCTAACTACCCTTATAAATCTAACTATAATTTACAGTGATACCTACTTATATAACATTATAACTGAGGAAATGTTTAACTGGAATTTAAGGAAATTTCAGAATTTAGTTAGTTACAATCTTAGGGTTACAATGTTACATACACTGTTTCAAAATTTAATGAAGAAATGCAAGAATGTGAAAGAAACCAAATTGTATACAGTGAAGCTATAATGTGGGAAAGAGATAGGGTGGTGAGAAATGGTTAGTGTTTTAAAATCTTGAAATATATACTGTACTGTACTGCACAGGTTTTAACTAATATCGTGGTTGAGAACAATAACAGGATTCGTATAGCGGTCTTTGAAATCCTTGAAAGTCTTTTAAATTTGAATTCAGGTCTGTAAGGTCTTTGAAAAGTCTTTGAATTGTGTCAGTGAAAAAGCGAAGGAGTCTTGAAGCATGAATTAACTAAAAACGTGTCGAAACTTTCGAAACCTGTATAGAACTTACCTTCAAATGCGATTTAAAATTTACCGTTTGAGGTTAGCGGTTTGCCATAAACGTCCATCTTAACTTCTCTAATATAGCGAGGCAGAGCGAGACAAGCAACAGAAATTCCTTTGCGTGCTATCGTGGAAGTCATGCATGACAGCGCAAATGGTTAAATTTTGTAACTTTAAATAGGTGTTCGTGCCAACAAATTAATTATGAATAGATTAGCATAATATCTCTTTGACAACCAATCGCGGAAGCTGTGCATTGCGTTCGTCATCGCCTAAGGATAAGTATAGGTAATCATGCGATGGTGAGTACAATTAGGGATTAATAGCACGAGTGATGTTTGGAAATTTTGCCAAAATTGGACGAGCCGCCGGGGCGAGTCCAATTTGGCAAATTTTCAAACATCACGAGTACTATTAATAATCTCTAATTGTACGAGCAACATCGCATGATTACTTGTTTATTATTAGCATGCCAACATCATATTCTCTCGCCAAAGCCCACTCCTGCCAGACTTTCAACCAAAATTTTGTGCTTTTGTTCGTATTTTCATTTAGCTCTTTTGTTAAAGCAAAATTTAGTGCTTTTGTTCGTATTTTTATCTAGTTCCTCTTGGGCAATTTCAGTTCACGTTTGTGTTTAAAGTGCCTTTCCGCCATTTTGTTTGTTTTGGGAAAATCATTAATTGTACAGCAGTACAATTAACGAAATAATTGTACTCCTCTCAGCCAATCAGCATCCAGTAATTTTGTCATGCTAATAAATCTTACTATATAATATAAACGCAAAAATACTAGAAGTTACAATCGCAAGGAAAATGCTGCCAATATGTACATGCAGGATGTACTATTTATTGTCTTACACATTGTCCTACATTAATTACTTCGTACAATTGTATCTTACATCTCATCTTATAAAAATAGGTACGCATTGCGTACATGTGGTTGAATAATTTATATTCATATCCTATGTAGTTCAGTGCCAGTACTGACGACCGTTCAAGTACGACGAAAACGTAAACACAACAAATGTATTCTATTAACAAGTTAGATATATTTTTTACATATATTCTTAATATTTTTTTAATTATTTCGTTATTAAATGTCATAACGGTTAAATATTTCGTATAAATATTCAAAATATATAGAACTACATTCAGAGATTGGGCGGCCAGTGGTCCGTAATGTAAATAAACGCTTTGTTTACATTTTGAACTCAGTGCCACAGTTGTAAAATATGATTAATCTTAGAGCACGACTAGTCAAATGCCCTCAGGTTCGCCACTGTGATTAGATATATATTATGCGGCTGAATTTTTAACACTCTTCTGGTTCGCTATGCTTGTAAATGAATACAGACTAGAGATTCAATTCAAGAAAGTTCGGAAGTTGCGAAATATTAATAACGGTTGGGTCCTGACCATTGCAATGTTGGCATGCGCAGAACGGACTTTACATCACCTTTATTATTCCATTCATTAAAAAAACATATAGTGCGATGTTTGATGTCCCCAATTCGCGGTTCCCTGGTTATAGTGGTATCACTGTGGTGTGGTTATAGTGGTATCACTGATAAAGATTAAAGATTGCAGCCTCGAATGAAAATATTGAATGTTTTGAGAAGATTTTGCTGTTGGCTATCGCGCACCTGACCCTAGCTTTTTTTAAAAGTTCTTGCACGGGTCAGGGCAAAAAATAAGCTATCTTGAATATCAGTGATACCACTATAACCACAATGCAAAGTTATAGATGGATAGATAGATATTTTATTAAAAGCCACTTTGCAGCCACTTTGGCTAAATTACGTAGATTTTTACAATAGTATATAACTTTAAATATTGGACATATTAGTCTACTCAATTATTATAATATATCATGGATGGCACAAAAGTGTTCCTAAAGCGGTTAGTGTTAGTCATTGGAAGATCATAGAGGCGTTTGTGCCTTAAATTATATTTCGCTTGGTGTTTTGGCGGCAACAGTGCATGGAATTTATGGTCACTGCCAGTTGATATTTTAAGGAAAAGCTTTTCACACAGTCTCGGACCGATAAGGAGTTTAGTCCAGATTGCTGAAGGCTCTCTGAATATGGCTGTCCTCTGTAAATTATAGCCAAGGATCGTTTTTGTACTCGCTCAAGATCGTCAGACAAGTACTTTGGTAAAGAGTGGTGAAATACCTGTGATGCATATTCGAGAGTGGGTCTAATACAGGTACAATAAAAGTTAACAACATCTGCCTCAGGAACATTTGCACGTTTGAGTTGGACCAGACAATACAGACGTTTGTTCGCTTTCTTAATGACATGCTCGACATGGAGGTTCCATTGTAATGAGTTCGAGACTATCAGGCCCAGGATTTTTGCGTGGTCCACTATTTTGAGTGGAACGTTGTCTACTCTAATTGGGTCAAACTCCTGATGAACACGCTTAAAGTCGATCCTCAGCTCCTTGCATTTTTCTGCGTTCAAGTGCAGTTTATTGTCTGCTGACCATTTCTCAACAGACGTGGCAGCGGATTGAGTGTGGGTGAGGGAATTCTTTGGAATGATTTCCGAAATTGTCGTGTCGTCAACAAACTTCCACGTACTGATGCTGTTCACACGTAGGTCATTCACCATTAGAAGAAATAGCCAGGGGCCTAACTTGGTGCCTTGGGGTACTCCTGAGGGGACGTGTCTCCATGACGAAAGGGCGTCGGCAAGCTTCACTCTTTGATATCTGTTGGATAAAAAGTCGGTTATCTAGGTAATGGCGTCAGGTTTTGAAGTTTTTTAATTAGAATGGAATGGTCAACTAGGTCAAATGCCTTTCTATAATCAAATAGAATTACTCTGACAGTTGCGCCAGATTTGTCTGTACCTTGGGACCATTCATGGATCATTGAGATTAGGGCAAGCACTGAAGAGGACTTTGGTATGGCCCCGTACTGATCCGGATCTAATGCATTCAATATAGCAGGCGCTATGTACTTTGTGATCACAAATTCTTCTGCAACTTTGGAGATTGATGGCGTCAAGGAGATCGGTCGCAAATGTTTGTTGACATCAGTGGCTGATTTTACCTTCGGGACTGGGATGATGTCAGCTTGTTTCCACATTGACGGTAATCTCTGTTCATCAAAGGAAGAATTGATAATATTACAGACTGGTTTTGCGAGTATCTCGGCATACGTTTTATACAACCAGTTTGGGATACCATCAGGCCCGCTAGCTTTTCGAGGATTAATTCTCCTAAGTAGGTTGCATGTATCTAGTTCTGTCAATTCAAAAGTCTCTAGGTCTGGACCAAACTCACCATTGTTGAATGGGTTGCTAGACAGAGGTTCATATTCACGCATGGGTTGTAAGAAGCCCTCGTTTTATATTCTATTTGCAATTTCCTCTGGGTTACCTTTATAATCATGTTCATTAAATTTCAGCTGCGTAAAAATGTTTTCGTTGTTACTGTTGGGCTGCATACCTGAAATACGCTTCAGCTCACGCCACCAAACAGACGGTTTGGTACCCTTACTTTCGTGGAAAAGTAGTTGTCACGTAAACGCTTTCTCTCTCGGTTTACAAGGTTTCTGTAGTGACGAAATTCTGTCATTTTTTCTGAGCGAAAGCTTCCTGTCGGCGTTTAATCAGGGTAATAAATTCAGGTGTTATCCAAGGTTGATTGTTGGTGTGTAGTTTTGTTTTCTTTAGTGGCATTATTATATCCAGCCCAGTTTTAATTAAGTCCTCAAATAATTGTTTTTTCCTATTGCATGACTTAATATCGTTGAGTATGTCCCAGTTTAGGGAGCTAAGGTACAGTCCCAATTCTTGTTTCCGAATTTCCCTTCTGTCGCGTTTCCAAAAAAAACTTTTTCCTATCCCGAGATAAAAACAACCGCCTTTCTTTCGGATTTAATAGTAAAATTGTGGTCGGATAGGCCGAACGGAGGGAAGCCGGGATGAAAGGGAGTTTTTGTCATAGAATTTATTGAGATTGGTGAGGATAAGGTCTAGTGTTTGATCGCGTCTTGTGTGTAGACGAACAAGTTGTTTCATTCGGAACTGACGAGATAGTCTGCTTACATTGAGACGGTTAAAGTCGCCAGCTAAAATGATTCCACACCCAGGATAATGACCTTCTATGTCCGTAAGAGACTTTGCAAGGATTGGATGTTGGAAGATTCAAGAGACTGTCTCAGCGAACGTCAATTTGGAGGAATTCCTCGTTCGTCGTTTGTATTAGCCCTCCTCGAAATGCTACACACATGGTTTGTTGCCTGGGAGAAACCCAAATCGGTAATTAGAATTGTTTTCTTGGATTTTTCCAAGGCATTTGACCTTATAGATCATAACATCTGTTGGAGTTCGTCCCGCTTTACTACCATGGTTAGCCTCGTACCTATCCGACCGGTTACAGAGGGTAAACATAGATGGATCGACATCGTGTTTTAAAAAGATCAACGCAGGTGTACCTCAAGGAAGTAAAATCGGCCCGATAGCATTTATTACCAAAATTAATAAACTACCAGATTTGACATTCACTGACAAAAATTCAGGAAAAGAACATATTTCAATTTTTATGGACGATACTACCCTATCAGAGATTCTCAATATAAATAACCCTGAAACACACCCAGTGAGCAACATCCAAGCAAATGTTGAAAGAATTTCAAAATTTTCACGAGAGGAAAACATGAGGTTGAACTTGAAAAAAACTAAAGAAATGGTAATCGACCTTCGAATTATGAAATATGAAATACAAGTGATTACGATAGACACCATTCCTATTGAAAGAGTACAATCCCACAAGCTATTAGGCATTTGGCTTCAATCAGATCTCAAATGGCATACTAATACCTTTTTTATTATTAAAAAGCCCAGGAAACGCCTATATTTTTTAAAGGTGTTAAAGAAATATGGCGCACCAGTAAAAGATCTATTAAAATTTTATTGTTCAGTGATTCGATCGGTTTTGGAATATGGTGACATATTATGGCATGGAGGCCTAACGTTATCACGAAGTCAAGATATTGAAAGAATCCAAAAACGTGCTCTAAGGATTATCACTCCTGACCTAAGTTATGATGACCTAAGTTATGAAGATGCTCTTGCTTCGTCTAAACTACTTCCACTTAATCAGAGACGGGACATGCATTGCAGTGACTTAATTAAAAACATGTCCTCCCCGTCACATAAATTACACTACTTATTACCTGTGAAAGTGGGAAACATTAGAAATAGGGAAACTAGATCCAATAGAAACAAATTTTATAACTTTAAAAGTAGAACTGATCGTTTTAAGAACAGTCCACTAGTCTATGCTATTGATAAATACAATAATAATATATAATGTTCTTACTAGATGTAAATAGATATAGTTAATTTTAATAACATTTTAATAGATTAGTAGTATTACCTATGTAAATACACGACAATTAAGTTATCTTATTCCATGTATACTATTAAAACCCGGTATTATTATATATAAGGTATTCTAACATCATGTTATTGTCCGAACTTGGAGGATGATATAAGGTACCAGTAATTATACATGGGAATCCTCGAGGAAGTCTGGTCGGTCTAATTTTAACCCAAAGAACTTCAGTTTCGGCGTTGTGAAAATGATCTAAAATTTCGTAACTGATCGAGTTCCTCAAGTATAAACAAACGCCACCGTGACTACCAGAGGATCGGTTTTTACAAACAACGTTATATTTGGGAATATTGATATGGCTTTTATCGATAGCATTTGTAAGCCAGGTCTCTGTGATAAGTACTATATCGGGATTTTTGTTCAGAAGGAAAAGACTGACTCGCGAATCGGGTGAGGTTTCTCCAGCACGGATTGGGAAAAAGTTACATGTATTAGGCACGCTATTAATATGATGCGAAGATATGCTAATTTCACGTTTGTTATTGTGACCATGCGTGGACGTGAATATAGTTCCGTGTCATATTGCGTATTTTAACTTTTCTTCCACTGCGGCGACCGCGGAAAGGTTTTAAAATGCCAAGGGTACGAATGTAATTATAAATCTTGTGGTCTATATGCTTCGACAAAGGCGGAAGGAACGAAGAAATGACGGCTTGTAAACGTGAGTTAAGGCGATATGAGAGTTCGACGTCGTGGGCTGTGGTAAACGCTGGTTTAATGTTACATTCGAAACGCTGTGGTTTGACTTCACAGGGCCAGGATTTGGTGATATATCAGCGCATATAGTCAAGTCCTCTTTGAAAGGTTTCCTTGGCAGTACGAGAGTTGTGAATCCGTGCTTCGTACACTTCGTAATAGCTCGCGCGATTTTGAATTTCGATTCAAGACTTGACCGGTGTCACAGCGGATTTGGACCCCCCAGTAGATTTGGACCCCCCGGTCCAAATCTCCTAGTAGATATGGACCCCCCGGTCCAAATCTCCTAGTAGATATGAACCCCCTTTAGCGGATATGGACCCCCTTATTTAAACACTTTTATATACTAAAAACAACTCCAATAACAGTGAATATGTTAAATTCATTAGTTTTCAGATACTCAGAGCTACTTATCAACCACACATAGTCATTTATTGTGAATAGAAAACGTTGTTTTTTTATTGCCAGTGAGATCCAAATTCAAAAATCTTAAACTACAAATAAAGGTCCAAATGGAAAGTATGTGTACAACCATAAAAGGATAAATAAACACGCTAAAAACTCATTTATATACATAATATGGCGTTTATATGACCAGAATAGATAAAAATCTGTTCATAATTCTCGGTCGTAATTCTTGGTAAAGGTCGACATCAGCAGATTCGTTGTTGGCAAAGACTATACATTTCTACGTTTTGTGGCCTTTATCACAAATATTTAAAGTGATAAAATACTTCAGATTGATCGCTATTATAAATTTGGTTTATATTATTGTGTTCACATTACATATATTTAACTTTTGAAGGGGGGTCCATATCCGCCAACGGGGGTCCATATATACTAGTAGATTTGGACCCCCGGGGGTCCATATCCACTAGTAGATTTGGACCGGGGGGTCCAAATCTACTAGTGGATATGGACCGGGGGTCCAAATCTACGGGGGTCCAAATCAACTGGGACACCGGAATATTACTATATGCGATCTCGATTTCATATCTTTCTGAAAATGATCCATCCATTGACAATCCAATACAATCCTTCAACATTGTTTATTTAGGAAGTGCTCTATGTAATTTAGGCTCATAAGCTTGCGTTAAAAGTATAAAAAAATTTGAAATAATGAGCAGCTTCAAGATTCTGTTGGCAGCCATATTGGCGCACTACTGTGGCCAGGCAAAGTGCTACGAAAACGTAAAAAGAGGAATCGCGAATTGGTTCTACAAAGGGGGAGTCTTATTAACTGTTTATTTCTTGTATCATGACAGTGTAAATCACTTCTTTTAGTTTCTTCCATATTAAAATCAACATTATTGTTAAAGGCTTTATAAACAAAACTACATCTGTGAAATTGTCTTCTATATACGACAAAGGGTATGCCACTTCAACATTGTTAAAGCCTGGCTACTAGAAGCATCGATTGGTAGATCCAACACAGACTTTGCAGTTTTATTATGAAGAATTTGCAGATCATTCATCAGGGATACATTGTTTTTGTCACCCCAAACTAAATCACCATAATCGAGAAGAGGCAAAATTAAGCTGTTTACTACCAAAGGCCTTGCCACGGAATGGTGTTACTTAAGTTTCCACACGGGTTCGGTGTATTACTTATATTTATTTCGTATGTTTTCCTCATATTGTACAAGTCTTACAACGCTTTTCCGATAACTCTCGGAACTAAATCAAGACAAACATGTGTTCAATATCCGGGCATTTTCCCGTTACGTCAGACTATAACAAGTTCAGGTATCTATTTTCCGGGTGCCAATTCCGTTGGGGGTACACTCTCCCCCTTCAAATGAAATCGCTATTTCAGCAAATACAAATTAATACGCTGACAATTCTTATGCTCATACAAGTAGCTATTTCGTGTTCGGGATCTTGAATGATTCCTAGAGTGGGGTGATCAGTCCCATCTCGCAAAATCTCACTACCGTCCTTCAATAACCATCCTGATTAATATTCAGCAAAGAGTCTTGCTTCGCTAAGTTACACCGTTTTACACTGGGTTTTTTTTCTCATAACGTTCTAACTCCATAACTAAGGTATAAGTCTAATATGACTGGATGGGTTAGGGAAAAGGTGGGTTCTGCCAGTTCGGAGGCATCATAGGGGAAAACCTATGCGGGTGACAAGATATAGGAAGCCAGTTTAGAGGTACTGATCCAAAGGGTTGTACTTCGTTTGGAGTAGGTACTACGGGTGGCATAGGTGCATGGTAGGTATGGTGGCATAGATGGTAGGTATGGTGGCATAGGTGGTAGGTATGGTGGCATAGGTGGTACAGTATTCCATGGTTTTCATCGTCTGCACGAGACTTGTCTGTGGCGTCGCCACCATCTGCTTCATCGACGGCGATGTCTGGGTTCGGTTCAACAACGAAATCTGCGTCTGCAGCTGCAGCATTATTAAATAATTTGGTCAGTGTTTCAAGTAATGCGAATTTCATCTTCACTTTCGTCTACGCTCTCTTCGTCTGTTTCTTCGTTGCCGGGTTTTAAAATGGGATTTCTGGAGGAGAAACTCTTTTCATAACCGTCCGATCGATTTCTGGCCAATTTGCAACAGGAATATAATCACATGGTTATAGATTACGGTGGAGTGTGCGATTACGACCATGACCTGACTCTGGCTTTACTTCATATACTGGGCTGTCCGAACCTTTACGCGATTCAACAACATGTACAGCTTCCTCCCAATATGCTCTAAGTTTACCTGGACCTCCTCTAGGCGTGAGGTTGCGCACTAGCACACGCTCTCCCGGTTCAAGGCTTGAACACCTGACTTGTCGATCGTAATTCTTCTTACCCTTAGCCGCATTCTTTGAAGTCGCCTTGTGTTGCAAGTGTATAGGCTTGTTGCATCAGTAGCATGCAGTCTTCCATTTTGATGCATAGTCCGAGTGTAATGTCGTATCGGATGTTCGTGGTAAGTCAAACATCAAATCGATTGGTTATCTTGGGCTACGTCCAAAGAGCAAATAAAATGGGGAGTAGTTTGTCGATTCATGGACTGTGCAGTTGTATACGTGTGTCAGCTTACTGAGATGGTCTTTCCATCGAGACTTGTAAGCTTCGGGGAGAGTTCGAAGCATCCTTAGTAGTGTTCGATTCATACTTTCGACCAATCCGTTTCCTTGGGGGTGATAAGGAGTTGTTCGTGAATGCATCACTCCAGACAACCGTTCCAGACATTTGAATAGCTCATTCTCAAATTCTCCGCCCATATCGTGGTGTATTTTTTCCGGAAACCCGAACCGCTGGACAAAATCATTAAAGATTATATCTGCGACAGTTTTTCCTTTCTTATTTCTGGTAGGGTATGTTTGGGCGAATTTGGTGAAATGATCAACCACTACGAGTATGTATTGGTATCCGCCTGAACTCTGTTCCAGGTGCATAAAATCGATTGTTTTCATCTTAAAGGGCGCTGTTGTAACGATCGGGTGTAAGGGTGCCATGTGTGACGATTTGGTTGTTTTTGCTTTATGCATCGGCATGTCCGCTGTACGAAATGTTCGATATCTTTCCTCGTATTAAGCCAAAAGAATCTTTCTCGAGCAATGGCTAACACTCTTTCTACCCCCAAATGTCCCATTTTTTCATGTAATTCGTGGTAAACCAACCGTTTGAATTTCTGAAGCAGGACCAGCTGTTGATTATGATACAGAAAACCGGTCTTCTTATCAATGTGTAAATGTTTCCATTTATTTAGGAACTTTCGTACTTGGGGCGGTTCTTGGCGTTGATCAGTTACTTTCGGCTTTTGACACAGCTTACAAAACTGTAGAACACGTTTGATCGTTGGATCTTCCTGCTAGCCTTTGGGGATGTCGATTACTTTCAGCCTGCTTGACGTTGTACTCTCGAACAGTTCATCAGCTTCCATTTCTTTAGTCTCGTCCGTTGCAGCTGTCAGCCAAACTATATCACCGGCTGCGTGGGCTTGAACAGGGGAAATAGTCGCTTGGATGGTTTCTAGAGAGATCTCTTCGCTACAGCTTTTCATATATTCGTGTATCTCTGATGCCAGTGGTCTCGAGAGACAGTCCGCACAGTGGCGTAGCGCTCATTGGTTAGGGTTAGTTCAAAAACTAAGGGCCCCCGACAGTTAGGGGCCCCATCAGCCACGGTCTATCGCCCAGAAAATTAGAAAACGTAAAAAATGCAGGTGAAGAATCAATGGGAAAATGCGAAATTAATAATGCTAAATAATCAAGCCTCCATCGACGACGGTAGCTGATTTTTTTATTCCAACTCAAATTAAACAAAAGTTATTCTTAAAAGTTGTTACATATGTTGGAGACTGTTATTGTCATTGTTATAGACACGGAATTTTCCAGAACATTCTATAAATGTTCAATATAAATATAATATCTCAGTCAAACAATGACAACAGGGGCCCCCACACCGAATATGCCTAAGGGCCCCCTCTTCCTCCGTTGCGCCACTGAGTCCGCATCCGTGTTTATCCTGCCAGGCCTATATCGAATGTCAAAATTTGAAATTCTCGAATATTAATATGCAAGTACAGTAAAGGTAACTGAAAAGCAACTTGGAAGATCAGTAAATAGCATGCGAGGCAAATATAAAAAATACTATTTTTGAAAGTATCGAGGTTGATATTAATTATACAAAACTCGGTGCAATAGCTGAATTGTTCAATGAACATTTCATAAATGTCGGACATGATTTAGCGCATCAAATTCCACCTATCCAAGATCAGTCGGACAAATTCATACCTGAAACAAGCACTGTTTATACTTTCAAAACAACTAAACCTAGCGAGGTTTTGAACTTTTGATTGCTATAAATAAACTAGCAGCAACTAAAGCTTCAAGAATTGATAAACTTCCTACAAAAATTTTAAAAATTGCAGCTCCAATTATTTCGGAATCACTATAGCGGCCATTCTCAATGGATCTTTAAAGACTGGCACATTCCCAAATGACTTAAAAGTGGCTAAAGTACAAACATATGGACAGAGGGGACATTGGCATAGGAGTTTTTATAGATTTGAAAAAGGCTTCAGATTCTGTGGACCATAAATATTCTATTGAGCAATGCGTTATGGAATTAAAGATAATGAATTAAAATGGCTCCAGTCATATCTATCGAATAGGACTCAATGCTGCTATGTCAATGGAGTTCTTTCAAGCAGCCAAATAATATCATGCGGAGTACCACAGAGATCTATCCTTGGACCGCTCTTATTCTTTATATACATCAATGATTTGCCTGGCATCAATGATTTGCCTGCGAATCCATCCCTAATATGTATGCTGGTGATACAAATATAACTGCTCATCATACAAATATTAATAAAGTTGAAGATGTACTTAATAAAGATCTAGACATCTTGAAAAGATGATTGCAAGCAAATAAACTAAGTTTGAACGTCTTAAAGAGCGAGTATATGTTAATTGGCTCTAAAGTCCGAATAAATAAGTTGACATCAGATCCTAAGATATTTAACTTAACAACGCTTATCCGGACAAGATCTGCGAATCTCTCAAAGCCCTGCATATCACTGCCTTCAGGGAAGGCATTGCCTCTAGCTGATCCATATAAACCTGCAATTGTCGCCTTCGTCCCCCTCCCCAAAAATTTGTCTTCAGAATTTCCTTAGCCTCCTCGTATTCAGGCATAGCAACCCCCAACCCTCAAATCGCTTCAAGCGCAGTTCCTTTTAAGCTCTGACGCAATCTGGACTTTTCTATATTGGCTGGCTCGTCCCTGCCATCATCTAAACTACTGAATAGTCCCCAGAGGCCCTCGAAGCGTGTTTCAATTCGGCCGCCATCACCCTCGAACACAGGCACTTTAAATGGGTCAAGCTTATGTCGAGATACCCCAACGTTATTTCGTATTATTTTCTGCTGCCAACAAATTCTGTTGACTTGTTGGTGTTTGTTGAGTGTTTACAATACTGACTGACTCATTTGCTTGTTTTCGGATTTAACTGACTTGCAAAAATTCTTTAACTGCACCCTCCGCCCTTTCAATTGCCTGTTTGCAATGTTTTAGATCCAAAATTATCTGCCGCTGTATTCGTTGTTGCGTTACTGTCAGCCTGTCATACTTAATTAATACCAATTTGCATATAAGCATGGCTGAGCTCATCCATAACGTTTATGCTTTGCTCTAACAACTCCCATAAACCTTCAATTTGCCCTTCTATTGAATTATTTCATAACTTTCATGCTTGTCGTCCTTTGCACTGGCTGAACTTCCACTTGCCTCGGCTGTCTTTTCCTGTCCTTGAACTTCCTCGAATTAACTCCAGCGAAATTACCAATAATTCCAAACGGAAACCTGTATCGACTATCGATAGAAGTTATAGAACTCTATAGAAGTTTCAAAACTGTATTTAACATAATGGTTCATAGTCTTAAAATTAGTCATAAAAATATAAATTTTAAATCTTCTTTCGAAAATCGACTCATCAAAATCCTTGATAAACAACAACAGTAAAATCCCCACAACCCGTCAATTCGGTTTTTCCACGAAGACAGTTCTGCGCGTGACGACTGCCACGCGAATCACTCGCGCTATTCAAGCGCCTTCTAAACAAGAACGTTCTATCAGAGTTTAAAATTCCTATTGGTTTAGTAAGTATCTTCTAAAAATTTTAAAAATTCCCTATTGCCTCAATTATCGTCGAAACCAATATGACGTATATAGTCACGTGAATTCATACGAAGACACAGATTGGTTACTGACATATCAGTGAAATGACGAGATTGTATATGTCACAAAACAGGCCTGGTTACAAAAGAAATATAAATTACACATATTGGACGTTGGCATATAAACGTTTTGCTGTGGAACACTAGATAACATTTTGAAACCATACGGTTTATATTCATAAATTATTATTTTAAGTATGGCAATACGGAAATCCTTGCTATGTGCTGTTGGTCTGCTTTGTACAGTCGTACAACTTGGTGAATCAACGAAAGTGTCCTGTACTGTGAAGACGAGATCGGGGGTGTATGTGCCGTGCAAGAAATATTGTTGTGGGAATAGAGAAAACCTACGATGCATAGATAAAGAGTTCTGCGAAGGGATTACTTGCGATCACAGTCCGGAGTGTGCTCGTGGATGCTGTGTTAAAAACAAGTGTGGAAAGTGTTCAGTTAGTCGAGGTTCGGTTTTGTCAAAGACTGATATAGCACTCATTATTGCTGCTGTTATAGTTTTCTTTGCTTCTGTCACACTTGCAATATGTTGTTGCCGTTGTCGAAGACAGAAGGCAACGATAGGACGTTGGAATCATCTTGCCAACGTTACTGATATCGGAGCCTGAACGGTTCGGGTTTAACAGACGATGTAATTAACTGAGAGCGTTGTAATAAAGGGTAACATTTAGCAAGTCAGCCGCCATGAACCGTTTTCAGGAACTCGCCTATATAGCTGTAACATTGTCAGTTTATATTATTAAATCTCATTAATTTAAACTAATTAAGAATGTGATGAAGAGGTTTAAATTCAGACGGCGTGCTCTTCGTGTACCGAACTTAGCTAATTGTATTAGTTTAATACAATTAGCTAAAGTTCGGTACACGAAGAGCACGCCGTAATGCGAAACAAGAACTGCAGCGATTCAAACGGCGTACAAAATATATAATGTTATTCAGTGACAAGGTTATAGAGGCGCGTTAGCCAGCGAAACCTAAATAAAATTCAAAACAAATAAGCTTTATTTTTAAATTACAAGACGGTATAATCCAATACTAGAATAAATTTTAAAAAGTTGAGTTAGGTTTGGCACATGAGTGGAGCGGCGTATGAATCAATGTCGCTCCAACGTCGCATAATGCGACAACCTCTGTCGAACTTGTGTCGAATGTTTGTCGCTCCGAATTCTGCTATACTTAATTGATCCATATACGTCTCGCTCAGATCTCGCTCTTCTGCCGTACCTAATTCGTCAATTAAGTTCGGCACATGAAAAGTACGCTGTCTGAAACGGACGTCAGATGTGAATTTCAAAAACATTTTAGCGGGTAATTTCTATAAACATTTCCACAGTATGATAGTGTTTCAAATTTCCCAGTGTTGTGCTTAGCTAGAAAGAAGCATGCGGTAAAGCAGCAATGATACTTTACATGTTGCATGATCACTTTACAATACATCTTTCTCACGAATTCCTAATATTTACCATGCATAGTTTACTATGTATTCACTTATATTATGAAATGAATATATTGAAGTAATAATAATAACATGAATAACTAATAGCTATAGCCCATTGTATGGTTCTTTGCAGTTAACTAATAATAGTCAAGAAATATATTTCAAAAACTCATTATAATAATTCATGTCGGAAAACTCAAAGAAAAATCATAAGCGTGTCATATCTTTATATGTGATAGAGATTTCTCTTGATTTACATAAACTTTAACTTTGATTTTCTCGACTTGCACAACGTATTTTTTGAAAATTGCTTCGCCAGTGAACTTACTGGACCGATTGTTTTTTAAGCAATTTAACTTGAAACATTCGCATGCAGTGCGTGTTTTAGCAGACCTAAATTAGATATGCGGCTTCGCTCCGTATCTATATATTTGATAAAACACTGCTGTTCATGTTTTAAATAGTACATAAGTGACTGCAGGGGAGCATGGAGAGCTTTGGAATTTTAAACAAAGAAGCACGACAGAGCACAGTATTTTCCTTGCCCTTCAGATACTGTGATGCAAAGTGTTTTTAAGCCACCTGCAAAGGATCTATTGTAGTATTGAGTTCTACTGTATTGCACCATCATCATCTCAAATATTTGATGAAACTGCATGAGGAAAAAAGATAAAAAAACGACTTGTATTTGTCTAAATGTGAACCTAAGAAATATAAGTGTAGGTGTAGACTTGTGGAAAATAAAATTGGAAATGCATGTGTGAAATTATAACGGTAGATATATCCTGTGGTGTAAAAAAAAGATCAGACCCAAAAGGTATGATCGCGCTGTACTAAAAAGCTTGTATGGAGGCATGTAAAATATATAAAGCCAGAGAAGGAGATGATTCATGTGTGTTGAACAAAGGACATGCGATCAGCGGTTCATGCATGGCCGAAAGGAAATACAAATACATTTTCTGTATGTCATGTGTATTGGATTTCATAAAATTCGGCCTTACCAACTTTTAATATATCCCGTTACATTACATAAAGTGCGCTATTCAGCATTAGCAAGTAGCAACTTCCTACGGAGACGGGAGACCAGGTTGGTGCCTGGCGTTACTATTTTTGAAAAGAAACTGAATTTTTTAACATCTCGCCAACCAGCTCTTGTGTTGTCGGTCCAATTTCACTGACAGAATTAAATATTAATTCTTGTACTCGAATTTTGGGACCCAGTTTTCGCACAGTATCAAGGAAGAATGGGACCGACTTTTGGTAACATTCGGACGCTGAGGGGGGTTTCGCACCCCCCTCCCAAAAAAAAACCCCTAATGTGCGCCCCTGTAGAGGGTGTGACTGTTCTCCCTCCATCAGAAGTTGAGGAAACATTGGAAATAGTAGTGGAAGATCCACACACAGTTGCAGTAGCAATATGGGTACCAAGGCTGAGTTAGCCATACCGGTGCTACTAGAACTAATTGATTCACTTTCTGGGACCTTACGTGTCGTACACAAGTGCCTATTACAGAAGACGGGGGAAAAGCATACACCTGAATTTCGCTCCAATTCACGGACGAATGCAACTATGTAAAATTGGATCTGGTTTCCAACTGGCAAATTTTGGCAGTTGATCTGTTATTATTATTATACAAAATTAAATCTCCCTACAGGGCTTTTCAGATTCAATTACATACAGTTAAAACAATTGTCAACTAATTATATTATGTCTATTTACAAGTAATGAAATTGTGTTAAAATAATTTAATTAAGATTATATAAATATATACTATATGCTAGGTATATAGCCTAAGAGGATATAAAACTGGTAAGCATATCAGATCAGTTTAAATGCTAGTTTTAAAAGTGTTGAAATTTCTGATCTCCTTTAGGTTTTCGTCCAAATCATTCCATAGTTTTACTGCCCTATATTTATAACTTCTTTGGCCCGAACTAGTTTTGAAGAACGGCAAGGCAGGTGATATTTGTTCACATTTTCGCGTATTCGTAATAATTCTGGCGGCGAAGTTCTGTACCATTTGTAGCTTCTTAATTAATGTTTATTGATGACGTATTGGCCCAGACAGTAGAACAGTAATATAACTCGCTCATGACTAATGATTGAATAATCAGTATTAGGGCCGGTGTCTCTATCAAAGGAATCTTTTACACGATATATTTGGCACAATTTCGCCATACATGATGAAATAGTTTTAGTTGATCATCATAAGTTAAATGAGAGTCAAGTGTGACTCCCAAGTCACTGGCCGAAATAGTAGGTCTCAGAGTCTCACCAAGTAGATATAGAGACATCTCCACCGGTAACCTGAAAAGAAGTTGTTTAGTGCCAATGAACATAAATTTCGTTTTTGTCGGATTAATTAATAGCCGTATTCTCGCAACACCATTTCGTTATTCCAGAAAGATCGTCAGTCTTGAAGAGAAAGTATCGCATTGTCAAAATCCTGTATCGTAAATGAGAGAAGAAGCTTGGAATCATCTACGTATGATTCCAATAAACTTGTCAATGATAATTGTGGCATATCGTTGATATACAGCATGCCTAGATAAGTTAACACTGCGGTTCGGACGCGGTTCGTGCGGTTGCGGTTTGCGGCGCGGTTCGTGCAATTGCGGTTGCGGTTCGTTCGGTTTGCGGTCGCGGTTTGTGCAATTTGCGGTTGCGGTTCGTGCGGTTTTTTCACCGACCGCAGAAAACCATGGCGTCGTGTACTGACGTTTCCCGACTACAACGGTTTCATACGCTAATTACAAGATTTATATTTCAATATTGCGATTATATTAGTAGGTCATTATATACTATGTAAAACATACCGTATAGTATACCGGTGTCCCAGGAAATTTGCCCCCCCCCCAAAAATTTGCCCCCCCCCCCGGGCCAAATTTCCTAGGAAATTTGGCCCCCCTGGGGGCCATATTTCCTAGGAAATCGGAAATTTGGTCCCCTCGAAAACATAGTTTACTTTATCGCTATAAGCTCGGAAATCGTGAAGCTTCTTCTTAAACAAAGATCCTAAAAATGTTTGTCAGTATTTATAGTTAGTTTGCATAATTTATTTGTGTCGAAATTCTTCATTGCGGCCAAGAGCCTGACTCTTCCACAGTCCCTAACACTGCTTCTAACGCAAAGGACCATGGGAATGCCCCGAGGCGTTTTCGACTGGGGACGAGTCAGGCCAAGAGCTAAAAGTGTGAAAGAAAGCGTAATAATAATAATGTGCTAGTGCAGTCATGCCAGACGCATCCGACACATTGGTATCTGTAGAGGACAACGTTAATGCACGATGGCTTAGCTTTAAATTAACTAAGAACACAAAATGATTATTTGTAGAGATAAGAATTTCTTAGTTATGTAGATCTATAAATTCAGTCACATAGTATAAAATTAGTCAGAGTAACAACCGCACTTTAGCAAACGATGACATCATGCGTTGGCGAATATGTTAATATGCACGCGTCTAATAAATAACAGGGAGTAATTAGCGGTAAAAGTAGACTTTTAAGTTGAAACGTTTGTTCGAAAAACAGAATCAAATGAGTGGTTACTTCGTAAAAAAACCTTTTCCTATGGGTTTTTTTCTTACATATACACTGTATATATAATTGCTCATATGGTTGGGATGCATTACAGAAGCATTCCGTAAAAACGAATGTAGACTGTATGCTTCATCGCTCACAAAAACATTCCGCGCACACAAAAGCACAAAAGTTTAAATGACGTTCCGTTTCCATAGCTTAATGATACAGCCATTATTTAGGGGCTGTTCATATGATCCCACTTACCGAGACGTCTTGCCTACCGAGACGAATATTCCGTACGTTCATATGGAATATTTCGTCCCGCTTGCCGAGATGAAATCACTGTAGTTCCATAATTAGCGTATGCTACATTTCAGTCAAGCAACACAAATACTTGCGATTTTAGTGTTTTTCTTCGTTTATTTACAAGAAAAAGTATTGCTTTAGGTACATGTTAACGTTGTTATTATGTTGTTCACATGCCTTATTAACGTTGTCTTCTATGAAGCTGGTCAAAACCAAACGCGAAAAGTACGCTAAACTTTAGCTCTTGGCCTAATTCTCGTCAGTATTGCAACTATTCAATGGAGAATTTTGACACAAAAAATTACGCAAACTGACTATAATTTATAAATGTTGAGAAAAATTTCTAGAAATTTGTTTTAGTAGAAGCCTCACGATTTCCGAACCTAAAGATAAAACAAACTACATTTTTTTAAGGGGGGCCAAATTTCCGAAGAGGGGGCCATAGGAAATTTGGCTTTCCTAGGAAATTTGGCCCGGGGGGGGGGCATAGTGTCCCCCTCGGACAGTATCAGCTAGCGGATAGTGTCCCCTTTAATTACTTTGCCGTGGATAGTGTCCCCCACGTGAAAGTCAAAAACAAAGGCTCATCTTTGAAAGAAAATATATTTATATAAAAACCATTTGCAAGCAAAGTTAGCACAAGAATTTAATTATATAAAGATGACAGTATTTCATAATAAAAGTTCATTGTTCAAGATGCTGGAGGAGTACATTCGGGGCACAACCACTGTATGCATGTGAGTCATCCAGCCATTGTGCTTTTGTTTACGCGGAATGCGTGGAATGCTTTTGAGTAATCCAGCCATTGTGTACGTTACGTAGCCATTGTGCGCCGTTGTTTTTTTGGAGTCATTTAGTTCATTTACTCGATGTATTTGATAATAACAATGTTTCAATTTAAATTCATGATAAGAAAATTATATTGCTATACTTATTTCTATTGGTATGATTCGGTCTGAACATTTCGACAGGTAAGTACCTTTAATTAAGATTACTATTCAATTTCTTGATGTGACCGTTGAAAAGGTTTAGATTAGTGTAAATTTCTATAAACTTAATAATTATATAGAGTAATTTCTACCAATAAAACCCAGAACCTAATAAAACCTTACATCAGTAGTTTTATGGGGGGACAGTATCCGCTAGGGGGGACACTATCCGCGTCGCTGATAGTGTCCGGGGGGACACAATCCGCTAGCGGATAGTGTCCGGGGGGACACATTCTGCGGGGGACACTATCCGCTGCGACACCGGCACCCGTGATATGAATTTCACTGTAGGTTATAAGTAATGTATAAAGTTATTTATCATCATTTACATTATCATAAACAGAATTACTGTAATGTTATATGAGATTCAACCGGCAAAAATATGATAGCAAATATTCTACTATCATTATAATGTTTACTGTCAAATAATGTTTTACTGTAATCCAGCATACACTGCTAACTGTCCCAGTGGCAGTGAATTTATTAAGCTACCAAACTTATCAGCACTATCACTGATAAACGGGTTTAGCGGATTGATTGAATCTGGATAAAGTTGCTATATGAGTTTGATACCCGTTAAAATAAAGTTCATCCGGGAAATTACACCAAGAAATTGAAACAAAGCTCGATCGGAGCACTGAGAAATTAGGCATGCATTTTATCAATAAGTTACAACAGCTTGGAAAATCTACTTAGTCGCGCTTTTACTGATTCAAGAACTGTTTAAACTCGAACAGATATAGGCCTACATCAGATTAGTAATTTGTTTCCCTCACAGAAGGCTTTCGTCGTTCCTACAATCATAGACAAATTTACTCGGACAAGCATGGCAAATAAATTATTTTTTGAAACATTTTCATATATACTTCGTAAAGTCGGTCCCCCCTCCCCTGAAACAATAGCGAATTTAAGCAAAGCTTAATCTAGTACGGGGACGTGTCAAGAAACCGCCTTAAATTTCACACTTTTATAATTATAAAGAACCACCGTTATTAAGAACTTCAACAAAGCAGAACGGCCAACAACGAGAACGGCCAACAACATCATATTAATGCAAGAAAACGAGCGGAAGTTAATAATTGAAATTTCACGGACGTTTCAGACGTCGCCGTAGCTCTGTTTTACAACGGCAAAATAAAGATTATCACGTCTTGTATACAACGCTTACATGTCAAGCTGGGACAACTGTTATTTTAAATTGGGTCCTAGAACTTTTCTCAATCATAAACCCAGTGGTAATTTTGATCCTTAAACTGTATTATTTTCATACGATGGATAATAGACGACAAGTTTTCTGCTGCAATCATTTGGTTCAACGAGTTTGTTTGACGTCGCCGTCGCGTTCCCGTCCTACATGCTTAAGGTCGCTAATATGTACGAGAGGAGACACAGAAAGAACCAAAGACGCAGAAGATTGCTAGAAGAATAGCAAAAGCTGATTGGGAGAAACACAGACGAGATCGAGACGTTGAGCCACTCATACACGTAAAAGATGAGTTATCCTGCCAGAAGCACTCCAGAGAAAAGTGGTTAAAGTTGGGCACAAGTTGGGACATTTGGGAAAGACGAAGACGAAACAGATGCTGAGCGAGAAGTACTGGTTCCCTCTTATGAACAGTATGATCGACACAGCAATTGATCAGTGTTACGAATGCAGAGTAACAGCCAAATTAAGATCATCGAAAAGAACCAATCAAAGTGACAAATATTCCAAGCAAACCATGGGATACAGTATCAGTCGACCACGGGGAACCGTATCCGGACGGTCATTACAACCTTGTTATGATTGACAGGAGAACACGCTACCCGGCAGTAGAAGCGGTACCCTCAACCAATTTCCCAGCAAACTAAGAGAGAATGAAGCACATTTTCGCCACCTATGGTATGCCAAGAAGAATAGAAACAGACAACGGACCACCATTCAACTCCAGGGAATTTAAAGATTTTGGGCGAGAAGAAGGATTTGAACATTATAACATAACGCCATTGCACCCTCGAGCAAATGGTGAAGCAGAACGATTTATGCAGATGTTAAACAAGACGGAAAGAGTAGCCAACCTTCAAGGGAAAAATCGTCTTGATAGACAGAACGCAGTACAAGACATGTTAGTTGCATACAGATCGACACCACACCCAGCAACAGTAGTTACACCTTATGAAGCGATGAGTAGTGAAACCATATATATATAAGAACCAAAATGGATCATGTAGAACCAAAGTGAGACAATACGGAATTCGACGAACAGGTCGACCAAAGAGATGCAGTTTACAAACAGAAAATGAAGAAACGCGGAGAAGGGAAGCAAACGAAGAAAACTTCATTATTACTCGGTGGTTACGTGCTGGTGAGGCAACCAAAGAAGAACAAATGGACCACACCGTATGAACCAGTGTTTTACACCGTCTACGAAATCCGAGGTTGTCAAATATTAGCACGACGAACAAACGAGGTCGGGAATCTTCGAGTTAAGCCCTTCGAGTTAAGCCCCTCGAGTTAAGCCCTTTTCGAGTTAAGCCCCGACCACGCCCTATTTTGCCAAGACCACGCCCTTTTTCAAAAAGGGCTTAACTCGAAGAACGAAACACGATTTAGGTTATTCGAGTTAAGCCCCGGGGCTTAACTCGAAGTTTGACAAAAAAGTTGTTGCTCGAGTTAAGCCCCGACTTTTGAAGTATGTCAACGAGTGCAATATTAAATTGTCAAATTTTCAAATACAAAAAAGACAAAGGCAAAGCACAGAAATTTTCCCAAAAAGAACTTATATATCGCTAATGTAATACGATTATCAAAAACAAACACAACTATTATCGTATTTTAGGTATATTTTAGGTTTTTCATATTAAATTAATATTAAATTTAACAACAGGTAATTACTTTTAGTGAATCGTTTATCCACAACAAAACAACAAAACAATATTTTAATTATAAAGTAGATAGAATCCTAACTCGTTCCTTTTGCTTCAATGTGCACAATATCGACAAATTAACAGTTTTACTGTAACAGAAAAGGTGCAACCTTCTCCCATCACCTTGAACAAAACTAATCTATTAAGAAAATGATCGAAAATGACAGCACGTAAAAACTAAAGAAAAAGGGAGGAAAGGGAAGGAATTTCGGTATAGAATGATCTGTCTTTGACAACTTGCGCCCAGAGACTCACGCCTCATACGCACATGTACAGTAATTTTATTAGCCAAATGGTTACGAATCACGAATTGTTTCATTTGGGTAAACAAATTATCAGGGGGAAAAATTGTTACATTTGAGTAAAATACCCAAATGTAACAATTTATCCCCCTAATAATGACGCTACGTTGACTTGTATTATTAAAAAGGGAATATTTGCTGAGCGATTAGTAATTTTATAAACGAAATGGTGACGTAGCGCCATTATTACGGGGATAAATTGTTACATTTGGGTATTTTACTCAAATGTAACAATTTCTCCCCGTGATATAATTTGTACACAAATGAAACCATTCGTGATTCATAACCATTCATTTGGCTAATAAAATTACTGTACATGTGCGTATGAGGCGTGAGTCTCTGGGCGCAAGTTGTCAAAGACAGATCATTCTATACCGAAATTCCTTCCCTTTCCTCTCTTTTTCTTTAGTTATTACGTGCTGTCATTTTCGATCATTTTCTTAATAGATTAGTTTTGTTCAAGGTGATGGGAAAGGTTGTACCTTTTTTGTTACAGTAAAACTGTTAATTTGTCGATATTGTGCATATTCAAACAAAAGGAACGAGTTAGGATTCTATCTACTTTATAATTAAAATATTGTTTTGTTGTTTTGTTGTGGATAAACGATCCACTAAAAGTAATTACCTGTTGAGTGTTGTTAAATTTAATATTAATTTAAATATGAAAAACCTAAAATATTGTTAACGATAATAGTTGTGATTGTTTTAGATAATCGTATTACATTAGCGATATACAAGTTCTTTTTGGGAAAATTTCTGTGCTTTGCCTTTGGCTTTTTTGTATTGAAAATTTGACAATTTAATATTGCACTCGTTGACATACAATCATGGAAATTAATTCGTAGACTTTTCAAAAATTTCCCAATTTCCCCCCCTCCGCGTTTACAATGTTGGTTTGAGGTCCAATAACCATGGTTTGAACCAACATTGTGGTAGGGGGAGGGGGGAGTTACTATTTCTAGCGATCATGGACGTTTGTATTAACTAAAAATAAAATGGCTTTACAAAATAGTAAGACAAGATGCGTTTAGAAAAAGTCTACGGATATTATTTCCATGATTGTACTTCAAAAGTTGGGGCTTAACTCGAGCAACAACTTTTTTGTCAAACTTCGAGTTAAGCCCCGGGGCTTAACTCGAATGACCCAAATCGTGTTTCGTTTTTCGAGTTAAGCTCTTTTTGAAAAAGGGCGTGGTCATGGCAAAACAGGGCGTGGTCGGGGCTTAACTCGAAAAGGGCTTAACTCGAGGGGCTTAACTCGAAGGGCTTAACTCGAAGATTCCCGACCTCCGAACAAACAGATGGACGAACGGTTTGTCGTGATGCAAGCCAATTTAAGCTTGTAAACTCTGCATGTCATGGGAACTATGAATGAAGATGAACTTTCGTGGGAAGAGAAATTGGTGATATATCGAAACCGAGATGAGCAACAAACAAACAGACGGTGATTCAAAATCAGAATCCAACAAACATTCCAGAGAAGAATACACCCGAAGTATAAATACAAAAACAAGATCATTCCAACATTAGTGAAATAACACCTGAAGGGAATCAAATGCAAGCGGAGAAAGAAACGCAACCACAACGAGCAGAACAGAATGTAGAAACAACAAATATTGAACCGAGAAACATTCAAAAAGAACGACCGAGAAGAGAGAGAAGGAAATCGGCATACCTTAAGGACTATGTTCCATGTTGAACGTGAATATAACTTTAAATTAATTGTTTGAACTTAAATGGACCTTTAATTAAATTATAGACAATTAGGAAATAAGGAAAAAAACAATAAACACAATTATTATAGTATGTAGAATTATTATTAAAAATATAGCAAGTTCTAAATTAAGTTGGAAGGGATGTAGTATCCTGACTTTATCTAATATGCATGCACCTCATTATATATGTGTATTTAAATAGCTAGTTAATTATATTCAATAAAACTATTGCATTACTGCCCGTATACAGTAAACATTACAAATAGTAATTATAATTGTCATCAGCACGTGTAGATTACTAGATTTTAATAACAAGAATAACAAATCAATAAATCGTTCTTGTTTACTAGAAAGTAATTGGGGACGCCTACTACTACCGTCTAACTATATCTATACTTAACATTTATTAGAAAAGGGAAATTATCCATATTATTTTTCTTTGTTGTATATTTACTAGCTATAAAGCATTTAGTCATATACTGTATAAAGGATTCCAATACTGCTTCCTAAATTACTCTTTACAAGAGGCCGTTTTACTCCAAGATCAGTGGAGTTGATTTATGCTCTCCAAGAATGGCATTTTTTATCTGGACTGACTGCTTGCCGTGATGACCAAACGAATGCACTTTATAAATTATCAAAGCAGACGCTTTGATAATTTCGTCTCTATACTTTTGAGATCAGTGTGCTGTATATAACGTTGAATATGCACATGGTAATTAAGCAGCTGCTGATAATATGACGTGTATAATCGCGTGAATAAAATCAGAATCTCAGAAACTGTGTTGGAAATGGAAATGCTGACCCATTCCATAAGATTACCGTTTTACATCGTTGTATAAAACATTTTGATCGCATGTAAAGAATTATTTCTCATCTCAGAGATATAGCCCAACGACTTAACATTGACGTCCTTGTGATTTTATAGAGATACAGCCAGAACTGAGGATTTTACAAAGGGAAATCGATACCCTCCCAAAGTTGCAGACAAGATATGTTGTTTACGTCCAACACGCTTAAAATTACATAACTCAAAATAATTCGAGCAAAACCGGTCTTTTGTTCAATGTAGAGACTGGCTCATAGGAATTAGTCATTTTGAGTTATGCAATCATGTGCCTTCATCCATCCGTGTCGTTGAACAATGAAAAAATTTGTTGTGAAATTAGCGAAGATAAAATAGCAGTTTGTGAGAAAACTGCGGGTCTATGGTGCGGGAAGTTTTCGGATTTAACCTCAGCGTGTTCGAAAGTGTTAGTTCCCATAAAAATATTTCAGTTCCAAGACATGCTTAATGAAAATCGTTTTCTAGGCACTTTTCGAGGTCACAGCAAACGGCCTAAAGTACCCATCACTAATAACATCGTATTGAGTCATTGACATTGTTAACTTGGATTAAAAAATATTTGATTATTACTTGTCTTCCTACTTTAAAACATATAAAACTTCACGACAAGTCGAGGGAATGCTCTGGCTGACAAAATTGACATTTAAAACTGTTCCTTAATTCATATAATTATAAAAGCCTCAAGGTATTTTAAAACTAACCTCAGTACGCTTTTGTTTACAATGTAGCTGCTTCATTTCTTCAAATTTCCTGAGAATATTCGTCCAGTAACAGTAATTCCTGTATATATTGAGTTGATTTTGTATGAAAGTAGCAAAACGAGCTCGTGTTGTAAACAAAGTCTGAGGCTCTCCACTCCTTCAAAGTTGTAAATCCCGTTTCGCGGCGTTAAAATAAAGCCATAATACATTTTTTGCTCAAAATGTTTCTTGTATGCTTCTATCTTTGTGATTGTAGGTCCGGTCAGAAACGTAGCCAAGGCAAAAAACGCGAAAAACTACCACTTTTGCTTACTATAAATGCGTTATCCAGCTTGTTTCAGATCAGTGACTGCGGTGGAGAGCGTTTGGGATAAGAAAGGATTCTTCTCAGCCGTGACACAACAGAAAATTCAGTTTGTCACAAAATTCAGTTTCTCACAAAAGTCGAACTTGTCACAAAAGTCGAACTAAGGACAAAAAATGGGTTTGTCACAAAATGTAAAACAACAGAAAATCAGGTTTAATGTAAAATGACGTGGTCCATAAAATTTAAAACAGCAACGCAAATTAATAATAACATTTTGACGGTAATCACCCGTCATAGAAAATCGCTTGTTGTGATATTTTTTGTGAATGATAAAGAAGCCCACAATGAAACGAGAAGTTTGTCAAGTGGTAAAGGAAGGCTGTAGTGCAGCTACAATCTTGGCAAAAAGTTAATGAAACACCTATAAAAATCAATGAAACAGACAAAATCCCCTCCCCCATGCACAATGTTGAACATAGATTCTAAAATATTGTGTACAATAGTTCATCGATGGCAGAGAGCACTATGTATAGGTTTCTTGCTCATCTTAATCAACATTGGAAGGGGGGAAGGGGGGAAGAATAAATTAAATTGTTAATCAAACTGGATGTTTCATTAGTTTTTGCCAGGATTGTAGTACTTCATGTTAGTAGCCTAAAATTGTACATCATTATTTTATAAACAATTTTTACCTCGATTTCAAACAGCAAACTTTGGTTGCTAAGCGCGTTGCTATGGTGGAAATATTCAAAGCCCTTGGTATTTTGTCATTTTTCCCCAACTTAGTATTTTTTTTTACAATAAAAGCCTCAGTAATGTTTAATAAGGCTTCAAAGAACCTAATTTTGAGTTTTTGAAAATTCATAAATTTTATCCATAAAGTTTAAGAGTATAGTCGTGACCATTAAGACCATGGTCATGAACATTAAGACTACAGTCGTGACCATTAAGACTATAGTCATGACTATTAAGACTATAGGCATAACCATGAGACTATATATAGTCATGATTATTAAGACTATAGTCATGATTATTAAGACTATAGTCATGATTATTAAGACTATAGTCATGGTTATTAAGACTATAGTCATGACTATTAAGACTATAGTCATGACCATTAAGACTATGATCATGACATACATTAAGACTATAGTCGTGACCATTTTGACTATAGTCATGACCATTATAAGACTACAATCGTGACCATTAAGACTATAGTCATGACTATGAGCTATTTAGAGTGGCTTCGCGCTATTGAGAACTTGGCTCCGAGCTATTTAGAGTGGCTCCAAGCCTGTCGAGTTTGGCTCCGAATATCATACAATATCTTAGGATCTCAAAAAATCTTAATTAAGATGCCATACAGTATCTTAGGATATCAATATCTTAGGATATCTATATCTTATGATATAATGCAGTATCTTAGAATATCATAAAATATCTTGGGATATCATGTAGAATCTGAGGATATCATACAGTATCTTAGGATATCATACAATATCTTAGTTTATCACATACTTGTACCTTTATCAGATAGGAAGCAGCGGGACATAAAAACGATATCGTCCCGGATATCGTTTTTTGTCCCGGATATCGTTTTTTGTCCCGGATATCGTTTTTTGTCCCGCTAAATTTCGCGACTTGTCAAAACAAAGATGGCCGATTCGAGGTTCGTGTTGGTTGATGTCGAGAGTTTATCGAAGAAAACAAGAACGATAATACAAAATGAAAGAGTTAAATTGTATATTATTTATATGAATGGTCTATTTATCTTCTAAAATCATATTTGTTCAGTAAATGATGAATTGTTTTGAATTCTAAAATGATCCTATTTTTTCAAAAATCAAAACTGTTTACTTTTGGGTGTCAAACCCTGATAAAGGTACAAGTATATAATAAATAGGTTATCGTACTCGGGATTCGGTGATATCAGTTTTATCGCTCTCGGGACGATATCACAATTGTCCGTCGCTCGCTGCGCTCGCTCGTGACAATTGTGATATCATCCCTCGAGCGATAAAACTGATATCACCTCATCCCTTATATGATAACCTATATATATCATACAATAGGTTTGGATATCAATATCTTAGGATATCATTTAGTATCTTGGGATATCATATCATACAATATGTCAGGATATCATACAGTATCTTAGGATATCATACAATATCTTGGGATATCATGCAGTATCTTAGGATATCATACAATGTCTTAGGATATCATACAATATCTTAGGATATCGTACAATATCTCCAGATATCATCCAGTATCTTAGATGGTGAAACATCTCAAACAAGTGATAATATAAATAAGAAACATAACTTTGTAAACATTTGGAAGAAATAAACGTGTTTTAAATCTAAATTCTTGTCCAAATTTATACCTGCAAAGCCACGCGCCCGATTTTAAGGCCCACCCCCGTGTAATGAATAATCCCTATCTATCTTGCAAGCCATTAATTAAATAGCGACTGTTAATGATTTTGGCGGTATATGTTTTCGATGTGAATCGAACCCGCAACCAGCGACCTTGTAGCTCAGTTGGTAGAGCATTGGACTGGCAAACCAGAAGTCACAGTTTCGATTCCCAGCGTGGTCAAGCAAACTTTTCAGCTTGTTCGGTATGGATACACTCAGAGCAACATCACAAACATCTATTTTCACCTGAGTGCATATTACACACCAGAAAAAATTCAAGATCGTAAAAGCACACTGATATCGAAGGAACTGGACTGAGTTCCGAAATATTACTCACTTGAACCGACTTGATCTCGTAGCTCAGTTGGTATACATTGGACTGTAGCAAACATATAAAGGTCACGGGTTCGATTCTCACCGAAGACTTTTCAGCTTTCCCGTGGTGTGGACACACACACAGAGACTATATTTTGTTATTCTACTGGTACTCTATATATATAGTCTTCAAACACGAATTATTTTTAAAAATAACACATTTTTAATGGGGGATCATAAAAGCATGCAAGTTACATAATTAATTAACTATTTTAGTGTTCGATTCAAACAATTCAGATATAGTTTATATTAGATATATACACGTGTTAGATTATTATCAAAATGAACAGATTTCTTTATATTAAAACAATAAGCGAACAGATGCAGGGTCCCATTTGTTATAGTGGATCTATATATATCTAGTTATATATATTTATATATAATATAATTAATAAGAACATTTATTTAATATATATTTAACACTTTGATAATAAATAATTACAAGTACGGCAGGTCCTGGGAAATAATATAATACATTGAACATAAATATTTGCTAATATATGGGCATGGAATATATGTACAACAAGTCTTTTCTTGCAACTAGCGAGTTATGAGACCGGTAGGATTAACAGTTTTTTAATGTGACCAACATCAACGAAATTATATTTATTTGATCTTAGTTATTCATGAGCCTGCCATGCCATGGTATGTGTTTTGTGACTGCGCATGTAATTTTTTCGTGATAAGACGTCAAGGTTGCACAATATGTCGTCATTTGTAAAACATGAAAGATAATTGAGCAAGTAAATCTTTGTATGCCCATCTACCAGTCCCAGATTGAACTGAATTTTATCAGTTGGTTTATTTGTCAAATCTACCGTTTTCACAATATTATAATCTTATAATTAAACATAATGGCGATTAAACTCAAGCTGTCGTTGTTTTTTTTTGTTTCTTTACTTTCGGACACGTCTTAACCATTACCTATACAAAAAGGAAAACAATTCCGTAATTATAATTTTCATCAATAACGACGCCATCTTGAATCGTGATTCATTATAGTCTAACTGGGATAAAGTGAGTTTTAACTGTGTATAGGTATAGTATACAATCTGGGCAACGTTTCAGGCCAGGTGCATGTGGAAAGCAAAAAGAGAGCTGCATGAGATCGCTTCGAGATCGATCTAAACTAGACCACCTCGAGAAGTACCCGTATAAGTTAAACCGGGGTATCCTCAGTCTCTATAATTCCATGTTTTGACCGTTTAGGTACTATAGGCCGAAATTTCTTCAGTTACTTGCAACTGAAGAAATTTTACTTATTTTTAATCCGATAAACAGCATTCATTTACATCCTTACTCCTACGTAATCCACGGATAGACCTAATTCTTTTGTGCTTTCAATTAGCTAACATCCCTATAGATTCAATATACTAAATACTAGAAATAGTATTATGAATAAATTTAGCAAAGTTTCATTAATCGTTCCGTGGTTATAGCAGTTTTAAAGTTAATAATCACTATGTGCTGGCACCGGTGTACAGTGATTGTTGAAGCCAACCCACTTATTGCTGCCGAGCGCACTGAAACACCATATTCCTGACACTGATAACTTCTCCAGAGTTTACTTGGCCTAGTCTTTCCGCGCGAACTATATATATATATATATATATATATATATATATATATATATATATATATATATATATATATATATATATATATATATATATATATATATATATATATATATATATATATATATATATATATATATATATATGTTTTGGGTCGGTCGATTTTTATGAGTGTTCGTATGGATGTCCCGGTCTGTTCCAATTAGCGGATGTAATAAACGCAAAGATTCCTGATTTGGTCCAGTTACTGGCTATCAGGTCTCTCTGCAGGACGAAATTGTATTCTTTTCAAGAGCAGCACAAGCAAAATGCATTTCTGTTTATTTTTTCAAAGTGAAGAGCAGTGCAGCTTCATAATTATCAGCGTTTTAAACGATACGAAATAGCCCAATGTGTGTCCAGGCTCTTCCCAATTTGTTTTGAAAACGTCAAGTTTGAGGAGCACTTTAGGCTTGGGCGGTTTTGCTTGAAATCAAAACCGAAAAACCGTCTGATTCTAAACCGGTAAAACCGGAAAACCGTTTTTTTCCATTTAATTTTTATTTCAACTGAATGAGGAAGAATTGTGGTATTTCTTTGACATAAGCAAACGAACAGTCCATGACAAAACGCAACATTCTGCAAAGGTAACCTAAAACAACTTCAGTTTTAAAATAAAAGGGTCAAGAACGCATTTGAAAACTTGTACCTCTTTAGTTCTTACCGACTTTGCGGAAAAGAAATGAATTTGTATCTAGTGTCATGTTTTGAGTATTAAGATCGAGTTTCAGGCGATGACAGTAAACAATTATGTAATGACGGTTTTCCGGTTTTTGTAAAAGCTAAACCGAAAAAACCGGTTTGAAAATAAAACCGAAAAAAACGGTTTGAAAATAAAACCGAAAAAAAACGAAAAACCGGTAAACCGCCCAAGCCTAGAGCACTTTCCATGCGATAGTAAAGCCTGGTTTCCATATGGTCGTAACTGTCGCGAACGTGTCGCCAACCATGCATTACCAGGAATTAACGACAAAATGGCTACCACTTGTAAACTAATTTGCATACAACCATATAGGCTACGATACGATGGCTTTCAATTTTTAATAGGGAATACTGTATAAAGGGCGAAAATATTTAGCTCGAAATTATGGCAATCTGAGAGCTCGGCTACTGTTTGCCGACCTCGTGATGAATAAAGCATTCATTTACTAATGTTTCGGTGGCATATTGATTTAGATCGGGTATACCTAAGTACTGAATTGTTGCACACACTTTAATCTATGCTTGGAGTCTTGGACCTGCACTATTAACAACAAGGTTTAAAAACAACCACTTTACTTTCTTTTATAATTTTTTAGTCGGGTAGTTACTGAATCGGATGCAAAGCTTCTGAGGATGGTTCTGAAACGGATGCAAAGCATGCAACCAAGCAATATTGCTCAAGATCTAGTCTTTCACACTTGTGATATAGATTACTCTATAAACTGTTGATTGACTCACCAAACAGCGTCAAAATTCTCAAATCAAAATCGCTCGGCAGCAGTTTGACATAAAAGTGATTTTCTTGAACACGACTTGACCGCCAGGAGAGATCGATACCCGATCGGAATAAATATGCCACCGAAACATTAGTAAATGAATGCTTTATTGATCAAGACTCAAGAGGTCGGAAAACAGTAGCCAAGCTTTCAGATTGCAATAATTTAGAGTTAGATATTTCCGCCCTGTATATAGTCCCAGTAAAAACTGAAAGCCATTGTATATAGATTATATGCAATTAGTATACAAGCTGCAGTGGCCATTTTGTCGCCAATTTCTGGCAATGCGTGTCGTGAAGTGTTTGTCAGTCGTGAATGATTTTTATGCTTGCCTTCCATATGGTGGTTATGTCGTGACACTGTTGCAAGTTCATTTCGTACATGCAGCTGGCGGCAGTTTTAAAAAGACAAACACAGCCCCCCCCCCCCCCAAGGGGAAACTTTGCTCCTTCCCCTGATTGACGCAGTCTGTTGCCACGCTCTCGTTTTTCTGTTTCCATTAAAACATAAGCGTCACGACACGTTTTTAGCCTGTCGCAACTGTCATCGAGATAGAACTCGAGCGACAACACTGTTGGAAATCTCGACAACACTGTTGTAAATGTTGTAACTGTTGCCGAACTTTTGCTAGTGTGTCGCGGAGAAGACTAATTTCTTCATGTTTCCATTTGGTCGCGAACACTACTCTGACGGAAACCAGGCTTAACTCCTAGACAGTATATACTATATATAGAGTTACAAAACATAGAACATTAACATACCACAAAATCCACAGGACTGTTGACAAAAGGTGTTCATGAATTCATAATTACTTTCACAGGCATCACCCTGTTCTGCGTAAGGTTTACATCCCGCAATTTTGTTCCTGCAAATGTAGTTTTGGTTACTACCTGCAAGATAAACATATCATAACTGTAATGTAATAATATATTGAATGCAGACATAACTTGCGCAACAACAACAAAATCTTCTACGATAACAACACCACCACCAACAACAAGCATTTTTATCATACTGTGCACAGTTACGATTCTCCTCCACAGAGAGCCGCACTAAAGAGGTCCTGTAACCTTAATCGCAATTTAGTAAATTCTGTCAATAACGATATAGGCTAATCACGGTTGGCAAGGACTTATTAAATGATAATTGTTGAAAACGAAAATGAACTTAATATTAATAAGTTGAATTACCATTCAGTTTGGCTCTTCTTCTGTCGCACTTATACAATTTTCGTACTTGTCGCACATCACCTGGACTGAGACGTTTTGCGTGGCCGAATGTAAGATCAGAGTTATTCAATGCTTGGATTGTATTTTGACCATTCTTTGAGAAAGCTTTGTTATCATAGTGTAATATACTGTTGAAATCGTAAGGTTCCGATAGAGTGTCCACATCTTTGTGAGAGTACGAGTTAAAATTATTTTCTTCACCTGAAAAGAACAAAAACTATATGGGTAAAAAATATGTCAGTCATGACGAAAAAATGTACATCATATATAATAGGGAGCTGATTATCGACATTTAAAATGTCGAACGGTGGGTGTCATTGTAGGTAATGAAGAAAGTAACCTGCGAACTTTTGTAGATGACACAACTATCTAGAAATTTAAAAAGAACGTCGACACTTAATTTGAGCTCTTGTACGGAGGTAGTTGACATGTAGTATCATCTAAAAAAGTTCGCAACTGATTATATGCATGGTCCGGGCTAAAACTTTAACTGAATGGTGTATGGGAATGTAGAGAGATAAAACAGAGTGCTAAATGCATGAATTGTTGTGGTAAATGGAAGGGACAGACAATTAGAAAATGGACGGGGGTAGGGGAATTTTGTGCTTTTTCGCTTGTGCAAGAATTTTCTGCGAAATTTTAATGGACTTTCCACGAATTATTTCTTTCTTTTTTAAATCCTTGCGCGAATTTTATTTTCCCCTCTCCCCATCATGATCACTTATCTAATGGTCCGTCCCCAACTACGTGTTAAACGTCGTAAACATCAATTGTTAAGATGGTAACTTACCATCTTCTATGTTCCAGTGGAGTATCTTTATATATTGATCACGATCTGGCCTCGAGTGTTCATGTAGAAAACCGAGCGCATGCATGATTTCGTGTAGGGCCCGGTACCGAGTCTCGCATGTTGTACCAAGTGATATAACCTGACCGCCATCTTGTCTTCCCACTGAGGAATAACATCTATAAATAAAAACATGACGATTCATGTGACGACACGACTGTATTATGTTGCAAACCGTTCTGCAAGTGTAAAATGACAAACCACTACATTCTAGGTATAAGCGATTTGCATGTTCTTTTTGTCGGCATAGGCATAAAACAAATGTAGTGATCAGGCAATTTCCATCAACATCTGGCAAATTTTCTGCCAGCCCCAGTAATTTTTTCCTCCCCCACTTGGACAGACGTGACATAACAACTACAGTAAAATGAATTATCTGTCTATATAATAGTAAAATAAGCTATTTAGAAGCTCTCACTGCATGTGATGTACGTACTGACGTGTAGGCAGATTGTCATATGTAATATCACAAAAATCAAGAGAGTTGCCAGCAAAGAATTTGCAACAGGGATTTGTTAGTATAGGCTCAATAATACATATACTAAATAAAATCAACTTAGAATTAATATTGAGCTTCGATAATGTAATAGCCAAGCATGTATAAGAGATTCCCAAACTTCTAATTTTGACTTTGCTATACTAGATTGCTCTGACCCTATGTTGTTCTTTGATAGTAAAGATAAGATAGAAATGTTAAAAGTAGTTGCTCCTTAATAAATGCTTTGTTGCCAAATTGGGTGACGGAACGTGCTGTTTCTTGGAGGTAAGAGCCCCCAGAAAAACAGGAGAAACAACTTCAGGGTGAGAGTAAGGACCCTCACCGTTATGGACATATATGCATTGAATCTCACGCCCGAGCCGACCTTCCCCGTGGAACCAAGCCACAAGAATTACAATGGCATTTTATGACACTTGGTAGCTATTGCCAGGAGCAAAGCTGTTGTTTCCTTTGCTTATCGTTTAGGTTACATAGTTTTAGATATGGATGTTGCGTCTTATTAATCCTATATTTAAATAAACATTAATTAAATTGTGTGGCAATTGAAATAAATGGCAAATGGGTGTGAAGGACCGAAGTAAGCACAATCAATCCACCCACTCACTCACAAACTCGATCCACTACATGCCAGCTCAGTGAGATTGTTGGTTAATGGAAAAGAAACGGATGAAAAGTTGATAGATAATGATTTTAACAACTTACCCTTTGCCTTGCTTAAAGTGAATGTAATATTTGTCCGTCGTCCGTTTCGGAATAAAGCGAATGCATGTTTTTGCAGCCAGATTTCTGAACGCTCGTCTTACTACTTTGCGAAAATTGACAGCTATATGAATAAAAATATGAATATTTAAATAAATAAAAATAAATAAATAAAAGATATACGAGATTCGAGATGAAATTCTAGTGTTTAACCATTTAGTGGTAGCCCGACTCAGTTAGTAGCGGAAAGTATCCCAAACACCTCCGACTTGGTCTTGGGGGCTGTCTTCATGTGAACTGAGTTTAAAACTTCAAACTGAATTGGCGGGGCGCATGTAACCAGAAAACTCAGTTGAAAATCACTATCCCACTCAAAATGCATTTTCAGTATTATCTTTTTATACTATACTGTTAAAACTTCATTATAGCCGTTTCAATATGTGCATGTACGAAGGCACATGCTAGCTGGCAATTATTATATCATTTAAAATTATCAGTTCGTTCTATGCAGTCAGGGGCAGCGCTAGAGGTGGGAAATCAGAAAATTGTTTTTCTTCTTTAAAAGTGAAAATTCTACCTAAAAGAACAAGGAAAACTGGATCGGAAATATCGAGAAAGAAGTCCCCTCCCCGGCCTCCTGTTGCCAAGAGTTTCGGGAAATGTATATATATATATATACTAAGATATTATCTAGATAAAAGAGTTAAAGATAAATATCTAGATAAAGTTATTTTGAGCTAGTCTCCTCCGCAGGCATCGCCTTTAGATTGGCGGGCAAAATTTTCTTGCAGGCAAATTGATGCGAGATGCCTGCGGAGGAGGCTATTTTTTGAGGGTTTTGAGATTATAAATTGGTATCTAAAGTGTTCCATAACGCCTCTCATATCTGTAATTAAAGGATCTCTGTCCTGTGGTGGATTTATACTTAGGAATAAATAGGGGAAATGACTCAGCTGAATAAAGCATTCATTTACTAATGTTTCGGTGGCATATTGATTTAGATCGGGTATACCTAAGTACTGAATTGTTGCACACACTTTAATCTATGCTTGGAGTCTTGGACCTGCACTATTAACAACAAGGTTTAAAAACAACCACTTTACTTTCTTTTATAATTTTTTAGTCGGGTAGTTACTGAATCGGATGCAAAGCTTCTGAGGATGGTTCTGAAACGGATGCAAAGCATGCAACCAAGCAATATTGCTCAAGATCTAGTCTTTCACACTTGTGATATAGATTACTCTATAAACTGTTGATTGACTCACCAAACAGCGTCAAAATTCTCAAATCAAAATCGCTCGGCAGCAGTTTGACATAAAAGTGATTTTCTTGAACACGACTTGACCGCCAGGAGAGATCGATACCCGATCGGAATAAATATGGATTTATACTTAGGAATAAATAGGGGAAATGACTCAGATGAATAAAGCATTCAATTACTAATGACTCAGCAAATTTTCAGTAATATTGCCGCAATAAAATAGGAAAAGCAGAAGCATTAAAGTTTACCTGCAGTAATTACATTATTCGAATAAGTTTTTAAAATCCACTAAATGTCGTGTATACTTACATACGTCAGTTGAGATGTTATAGGGAATCAAACCATCGTCCCACAGATTTGCATTTTTACGCGCGACTCTTTTCTGTCGACTCCCTCTGCTTCGTTCGATCATTCTTAATAAATCTTTGTCTACCACAATATCCCCTTCGATGATAGCTATAAGATATAACACCAAGGGAACGCAATTAAATTCAGAGTTCTTATGATCATTATTCACTAGCACTCGCTTCATTGAGAGTTCTCAGGCATTCTGATTGGTCAATTCACCCATTTTTAAAAACTTGGTCTCTTCGGCAGAAACTTCTGACACGAAAAAATCAGAGCCGGAACTACTGAGGGTGTGTGAGGAGTGTATAACACCCCCCCCCCCAAGAAAAGTCAAAAAGGGGAGCCCAACTTCCCCAGAGGGTCCCCTGGAATGCTGGAATTGCAGAACGTGTTCAATATTAAAGTAAAGTAATGTTTGGAAAAATTTCTGGGACGTTTTATTTTCGCAAAAATAACGTCGGCCTTCCCCCCCCCTTTTTGAGGGGTGCCAGAAACGAACGGGGCCCAAATTTTGGAGTTCACACCCCCCCACTAACCAGATATCGCTCGGCACGTCCCTGGAAAAAAAGTCGGAGGAAGTCGATGCGTTTTCTCATTTGCATTTGTGTGCACTCATCTTTAGTATGATCTCCTAAAATCACGGGAAACGCTTAGCAGTGGCGTGGCAAACTCGATAATTGGGGGAGGGGGCAATATTCATATATTCGTGTTCTGCATCATTAATTTCTTTTGAAATAAATTGTTTTTAAGGTCTGTGAACACGAATATATTAATATTGCCCCCCCCCCACCCCAATTATCGAGTTTGCTGCGCCACTGCGGATTAGGTATGTCGGAAAATTAAGAAATACAGTACAACCAGTCCGAAAAAAACCCTGGCTAGAATACACAACTGGTCGAGCAAGTACTTGCAATGGTAATTAAAAGCGCTTTCTCACTTCTCAATTAGAAGCGAAAGACGAGCAATGTAAGAAAAATGTAAAATATAATCTAGCCTCCTCCGCAGGTAATTGTGTAGTTCTGCAACGTTATTAACTATAAAAGATTTATCAGGAACGTAGAAAATACAAGAAAATAGTTCTGAAATACGATATGGTATTAATAAACAAGAAACCTATATTAAAAAGGCCTGGAGCGGAAAATAAGGAAGCTGTTGGATAATGTAGGAAGTAATGGGATACTAGTAAAACGAGAAACGAGAGAAGGGAGAGTTCTCTCTTTCCTTCCTCCTTCGCCTTTCTCGCTCCGCCCCTTTCCCGTCTCCCTATTTTTTCGCTCCAGGCCTTTTAAATGTACGCTTTTTTTCCGCTCCAGGCCTTTTTAATTTACGCTTCTTGTTTATTAATATCATATCATATTTCAGAACTATTTCCTTGTATTTTCTACGTTCCTGATAAATCTTTTATAGTTAATAACGTTGCAGAAATACACAGTTGCCTGTGGAGGAGGCTAAAAATAACCAAACATAATTCAGATTTAGGAGACAAAAGAGGATACGCAATAAGGCAAAGAATGGCGCAAAGAAGAAATGAAAGGAACGGAAGTCTCAGACTCATCCTCAGATCAGCAATATCCTCAGATCAACAATATCCTCAGATCAATGTATACCTAAGGCAGTGCTAATCAATATTTTCACTGTAATATCACGTTCTTGGGTGAATCTCACTATAAGCATGGATATCGAAAATAATTTACGGGTCAAACACAATGAATTAGAATAGAGAGACGGTAGCTGAAATGACGTCTTCAGAGTTTATTATAACTCCAATGACTAATGTTTGGTCTACAAAAACATTCTGCTGCTAAACTTTAATATTAGTTTTCAAAACCTTTTCTGTTTGCAATAAATTACTCACGTGGAATTACTTGGCTAATTATAAAGTACTGTTTAATAAACGAGCAGGAGTGTTTTATTAGGTTTAAAGCCACGAGCGCGCAGCGCGAGTGGCTTTAGACCTAATAAAACACGACCTGCAAGTTTATTAAACGGCTTCAAACACGACTACAAATTCAATAGATATATTGCCTTATTAAAGAATACTAATGAGGACACGACTACAATAGATACTGCCTTATTAGTATTCTTTATATAAAGAATACTAATTAGGAGTGTTTTATCAGGTTTAAAGCCACTGCACGTGACATATTATAGTTGACATGATTTGCCAATAAGCTTATGAATTAAAAAAATCCCCATTTAACTTAAATCTAGGAGATAAGTTCAGGACACTGCGCACCGAAATTAATTAAACGCCTACTACGAGAAAGCCGCGAAAACTTCTTCGGAACTCTAATAACCGACTACAAGTGCAATCCAAAGCGTTTCTGGTCAATTCTGGGGCTGGTTGTATAAAAAAGTGATTAAAGTTAACTATAATTAAGTGCAAACTTCATCCAATAAGAAGCGCGTATTTGAGAGTTAATCACTATTTAACTACAAAATAGTGATTAAAAAAGTGATTAAGAGTTTTATACAACTGGCCCCTGGTCGGTATTAAAACATAAGTCCAAGTCTCAAAATATACCAAACAAGATTTCCATGAAAACAGCCTCCGGTCTTGTGGACTCGCCGTCAAGAACTACTGCTGATAATCCTGCCGAAATTGTTAACTTGTTCAACAGGTACTTTACATCTGTATTCACCAGTGACAGTTCACCTCACTATGCTTGTAAGCCAGATGATACCCCGAATATAACTGATGTAAATCTAACTGTGTACGAAATTCAATCTGTCCTTGAAGCGCTGGATGTTACAAAAGCAACAGGCTCAGATGGAATCCCCGCTAGACCGCTAAAGGAAACAGCCGAAGTCATAGCTCCATCTTGTGCTGCCTCTTCAACAAATCTCTCAACACAGGCACCTTACCTGACGAGTGGAAACTTGCGAATGTTGTACCAATACACAAGAAAGGTAACGCTGGATACACAGAGAATTATAGACCTATATCTTTACTACCCATAGTGTCCAAAGTCTTGGAACGATGCGTACTTAACAACATTAAATGCCATCTCCACCAGCTAGTCCACAGTAGTCAACATGGGTTTTTCACGGGAAAGTCATGTACAACCAACCTTATCGAAGCACTAGTCTTCAACAACTATCGAAGCACTGGATAGTGGTAATCAAATAGACGTGATCTATTTAGACATGTCTAAAGCCTTCGATAAAGTTAATTATGAGCTGCTGCTTTCCAAACTTAGCAAGCTTGGATTTGGAGGTGGCCTACTCCATACTAGGTCCCATATTATTCCTCTTATATGTTCATGACCTACCCGGTCTCGTCAAATCCAGTCAAGTCTCTATGTTCGCAGATGATACGAAAATATTTAAGTCTATCGCATCAATAAACGATACGAAATTACTCCAACAGGACTTATCCAACTTAGAATCCTGGTCTTCGACTTCCGGTCTCCCCTTCAATCAAAGTAAATGTCGGTCGCTGTCTATCACTCGTAAAACGAAGCCAGTGGTGACTACATACAAGATGAAGGGTAAAACTCTAAAAATAACAAAATCGGAACGAGATCTTGGCGTCTGGATGTCAACTGATCTCACCTGGAATCATCAAGTAGTAGAACAATCTTCCCGTGCTAACAAGTTGCTAGGTTACATCAGACAGAACGCACGGTTCATTCAAAACACCAGCGTGAGGAGGGCATTGTATTTAACATTAGTACGCCCTCACTTAGGATATGCCACCCAGATCTGCTCGCCACAGTCCATCAACCTAATTGCAAGATTGGAAAAAGTTCAACGTGCCACGAAATTTATTCTCAATCTGCCGTTTTCCAGTCCAGACAGTTATACCTTGCGATTACAGTCTTTATCATTACTTCCATTATGTTACTGGCATGAGTTTTTGGATTTTTTTTTCTTTAAAATGGTGAACAATCTGGTAATAACAGAACTTTCTGTAGTACCAAAAACCCGAAGCTCCAGACCGACCAGATCGTCTATAAACACGGACATACCTAAGTTTGTCATTCCCAGGAGCAAAACAACGACGCATCAACGCTCGTTTCTAATTCGAACAACCAGGGTGTGGAACAGCCTAGCTGACGAACTGAAACTTAACATGATAAATTTGAACTCATTTAAATCTACTATTCTAAGTTATTACTTCCATGCTTTGGAAATTTCCTACGATCCTGAAAATCCAAGAACATTCAAAACTATATGTACCAAGTGTAATACCGCTCGAACTCTGGTTCAGCCTCTTAAGTGCTGCTATTAGTTATAGTTTTATTTAGATAGTTTTTTTATGTTTGCATGTCCTAATTCGGGCCCGCAGTAATTGGCTCACGCTGTTGCGGTCACCATGCCTATAGTCATGTCTATTATTCTTGTTCTTGTTATAGTTTTGTGTATTGTAATATGGCGAAACTAATAAATAAAAAATAACAATAAATTATTAATGAGTGTTTGAACATAATTATAATACACATGCATGTGCTTCGTGTTATTTACTGCCTCTTATATTATATCTTTCTTAAGCCCATGCAATATCGTGATTTTTTTCAACTGTTTCATGAAGACAACAAGTAATGACAGAATCGTAGTATATATAAATATTTCTGTCCGTAATATTTACTTTGTATTTTACTCCGGCCATGCATGCATATGATCAACCTCGTTCCCAGGTTCTTAACAAGAGGGAAGAGCCTGGGAACGAGGTTGGCATATGATCCGGCAATTGCTGTTCCTGATTTCCTTCGTTGACAGAATAAATCGTCAGATATTCATCATATTCTTTTAAGCTGTCCCAACAAGGTTAAACTCCAGAGTGACACGTTTATTATGATGAATTTAAGTATATAAAGACAACAAACTCATTTTAAAATAATAAACACGTCTGGATTATAGATAGAATGTTCGAGTGTCAGGTTGTCTGAGAAAAAGTTCACAAATATCACTGCCATTTAATTTGAAAAGTGTTTTTGATTCAAAATTTACGGCGTTTTTATACAAAATTATTATATCATGTCATCAAGAAATGTCTACACTTTATTGAATTACACATTTAAATTATATAAATGTCTTGGGATTTTAGTTTTTAAAATTAGTTTAAAAAATTATACACAGATGCGTTTCGACGCTGACACTAAATTGTACAACTGGAGTATATGTTTGGTGGCCTTTGATTTTGACAGTATGAATCAGATCAGATTAGAATGAAGGAATCCAGGAAATATTTCCGCTGTATATGGTTTGCTGCCTACATCGAGAAGTTAATTAAGTCTGGAATACATGTACATAATACATCGATATCTGTGAAAACTCACAAAAACAAACATTAGTGCATCACTTTTATATAAAGAGATAAAGCTCCAAATGCTTCAAATTCCAGGAAATCCAATTCACAATCGGAATGTGCGCGCAAAATGCATAGCAGTGATAGCACCCGTGTACGGTAGGCCTATATACCACACCTTTCTTCTAGCTAAGTGAAAAAATCCGTTGTTTTTCCCTAATTGAATGACAGAATAAGAATTGCTATATATATATTCCCAACAACAACCAGTAATAATGGTTCAAATTACTTGCAACCACATATTTAATGATTATTATTTTTTAATTTACAATATTTCAACTATTTGACTGCTGTCATCACAGATGATTACCTGATTAACAAATTAACAAATTAACACAAGGATTGACAATTGGGAATATCTCGAGACTAGGCGGCAATCAACTTGACTCGACTAACCACTATAGCTATGACAGCTATATAAATAATTTCCAGGCGATGTAAGAATATTACGATACAAAGCGTGTAAAGTTATATTTGTACATAACTTCATTTGCAGTTCCTTTCAGTCTTTGTTCGGTTGTATTAGATTTAGTTATAAGTCTAAGTTGGTACTGTAAGAAATGCCGAAGATATTGAAACCCAATATATGAGTCAAGACGATGATGATGATTTTATCAGAATAAAATCCAAATCATTCTCGTCATTTTGTCTTGTCTTGGATTAAACTAATCCTCGGATTATATTTTGTTTTATATAGTGGACAGTTTTCTCAAAATTTTTCACCTTAGAGCACATATCTTAGAATTAACGACAGTTTAGAACAACGTATAATTGAGGTAACTGGTACGCTATAGCCTACGATACTCTTTTTTAACGAAAAAACTACTCTACAATTAATAAAAAGTTACTAAGTTTTAATAAAATGACCGATGGGCAAACTCACTCCTAAAAAGTGTATACGCGAGATCATAAAATCGCATATGATTCTTTTACCATGTTTATTCTTTGTGATTTTTAAAATTTTTGTCGTGTGATTTCTTGTGACTTTGTTGTGACTTTTGTGTGCAATTTTTCTGTCATTCAAATCATTGATTTTCCCCTTGAAACTAACATGGAAAAGGTTAATTTTACCACACACTACAACAATTATATATAACGTACTTTGTCTACAATTTTTTCTGATGTACTTGTTTATATATATGAGATTAGAATATGGAATATACTAAGTCTAAGTATATTAGCAGTTATTTATGGTAATCTGTGATAGTTGTTTCAAGCATGCATACAAAACATTCTTTATTGATGATGTGTGTAATGTTATCAGAATTAAATTCAGGCCGGGAAGTCAGTTGGATGAAATGCAGCCTACGTCATAGACTCTCTCACTGCAAGATCGGCCGAGAAGTCGCCAAGTTGATTCAGTTATGACAAGTACAGATGCCGTCAAATGACAGCAGGGATACTGAGAAAATAATTATTTAATAACAGAGATATAATCATTTAACGATAGGCCTTCATGTGGATTGTGTGTGCATCTCCAGGGAGAAAAAATTGACTTGACTATGAACAGTCGAAGTGCCTGCCGAGTTATATCTGCCGCGCAGACTAGGTGATTTATTATTGCTAGATAACTAGATTAGAAACATGGGAATATGTACTCCATTGCTTAGAAACTTAGGTATATAATTATTCTATGATCTACAGTTGTACAACTGTTAGCTAGAAAATATTGGTAACCCCGAATGAATACGACGCATTGGCAGACTGTCAGTTACACATTTTAATAAAGTGTTTCAATCGAATGCCTTTTTTCAACTTACTTGGATTTTGATGTTCGTCAGAGGCTTTAGAATCTAGACGTTTTCCAGCCTCTCCACTATGTAACCCTGAAATACATAATACGAACAAAAGCTTCCACGAGATATCCCCAACTAAATCCATATTATCCGAAGCGCATGTATATTATTCCGATGGCGACGCTGTCTGCGTTATGAGGCAATTGGAATAATTGATAGGTGTGCGCGTCTTTTTATGTGCGAGATGACAGATTGATATTAACACAAAGTCATTCTGTTTTCAAAACTCGTAATTAATCGCTTCATTCGTTCCTCCCTCACTTGCGTGGGTTCAATTTACGGATATGCTGAGGCATATAAAAAACCTGGACTCAGGAAGTGGGATAAAGTTTACCACAATTAATCATGGTTCTTTACGAATATGCTGAGGCATGAAAAAAACCTGGACTCAGGAAATGGGATGAAATTTACCACAATTAATCATGGTTCTATAAAATTAAATAAATTATTTACAGCAACATATAAGAAATTTAAAAAGTGCCGCTGAACTTCAAACATAGTTTTCTCATTTTTATAGATTATGCATTAAACATACTTTATAAGTTTGTTTGCCGTTCGAGAAACGCATTACAAACTCTAAAAAAAATTAAATGTAGTCTCAGTCTCTAAAAACATCGACCAACCAGGCAACTAGTCTCAAATCAATCAATAGAAAAGCACAATAAAAGACAAATTAAGAAAACACTGGCTACCAACAAAATCGCGCGAAAATAGTTTGATAACACAACTGCATGATTTATATTTCGATTAGGTTTCGTTTACTTTTCAGGAGTGATCAGCTCATTCCAACTTTATCTTGAAAATGCAGTCTTCGGGGTCGTTTCACAATTTAAGGGTCCGTGTCGATTACCCAGCTGATTTGGGGCATTGTCAAACTATTGTGCGTATACTTGTCTAAAAATACATAAAGCTTCCTGTGCAATTTAATGAATTTAATTGAATATTTTAATAAGACAATGTCAATCAGTCAATGTATTATTTCATTCAAAATCTGTTTCTTGCATGTGCTCATCTAAACTTCAGTGCAATTAAATTTTTTTTCCGCTGTGATCTGAAGGACAGAGCGTTCTAAACTTAATTCATCTTCAGTGCAGTATTTTAACCGCTGGTGGCGTTCAGACACCGGTAAACACCGGGCGCACGCCATCACAGTTTTCATTTTTAATAGTTTAGAATAAATTTGCTTCTGGTACATGCAATCATCATTACAGCCTTAATCGTGTTTGAATATCGCTTAAATTCCCTTTTATGGACAGTTATTTTGCTTTCTGTTTCAAATCCTAAATAAATTGCGCCGCATTACCAACTCGCGGTCCACTTAGTGTGTGAAAAGTCTAAAGGGCGTTGCCCAATTTGAGAATTAAGGATGAGTATCAAGTGGACAAAATCTCCATATTATTAAATAGGGACAAGATTTCCTTTGCCAAATTTTCTTGACACTAGTTGTTCACTGTTTAACATAGTTTTAACAAACTTTACAAATATTGCTTACGCAATACGTATACTATGAATATTTAAAACTAACTCCGTAACTTACGCAAGAAGAAATATTCGGTAAACACTCGTACTAATGATATACGCCGAAGATATGAATCAGCCAAATTTGTAACTATAACTAGTACTAGTACTAGTAATAATTAATCTATATTCCTCACAATCCAGTCTTACTTTAAAAATTAGTTATAAATCCAGAATCAATTTCAAATCGAGAACATCCCCGGTGCATATTACTGCCGCCACGTAAGGTCGTTAAAGGTTACAACATTAAAAGAAGTTCTTGCGGTGGGCGCGATAGGAATGAGGAAGCGGCTTATGTCGTGGAAAATATATAATAGTTGGCAGAAGATTTGTCTCAAGTCGCCTACCTTCCACTCCAAAGTCGACATGCCGTCGCCTATTGTGCCAAGAAGTGTTTAACATTCGATTTTGGCTTTACGCCCACTTTCCATGACTACGCCGTCAAGTTCGAGATATAGTAGAGATATATCCAACCCCTATAACATTGTCGAAAATGCAAAATCTAGTATTCTAGAGGTAGTTAAAATCGAAAGACGTCAGTAAGCGCGTTCTCCCCATTCCGCCATACTCCGTTTTCCGTAGTAGCCCCATGCCTATGTCATGTTACTTTTGATCCTTCACATCTTCACATCAGGTGTCACAACGGATGTTTATATTACTTCCGGAACATAATGAAAAACATAATGTCGTTTGCTGTTAATCCTGCCAAAGTAGATTGTTCCAGAGTGTGTTAAATTTAAACTGAACAAAACAATAAAACCTATTTTGAGCATCAATATTCAATAATAATATGCACGTTAGTAGACAAGTCAGTTTCTATATGATCCAAGAATGCCTGAATTTAGAACAAATTTTCCTAAGCCTAGTTGCTCGCCTGGTTGTATCTTTTGTACATATAAACCATATATAGTTCCTTATATGGTCAAATTCTAGCCGCGAGCACACTCACGAGCACACTCAGTGCATGTCACTCACGATCTTTCGAGAAGCAGAAATTGAGTTGAAATAACAGTATAGGAAACAATGGTGAACCCGAGGGTGAACCGAGGAAAATGCTGCATTAATCTTTTTAGTTTTGATTCGTAAGCCCCCCACCGGGCACACGATGTTGTTTCAACGTTGAAATTTGGTAGAAAAAAAGTTGCGACGTCGACAACCTAATATCCACGTTGCTCTGACGTTGTTTTACAAACATTGGTTCAACAGCAGCCAACAGACGTTGAATTCATGGTTAAATGTACGACGTCGATTTGTGAACCAATCTCAACGTTGTTTTAACGTGGATTCAACGTTGAATTATGGTTGACGAGATTGGTAACCTAATTTCAACGTTGTTTCAACGTCGAAACAGTAACGTCGATCCAATTTGCATAGTCAACCCTTTTTCAACGTCTATCCAACGTCTGGAAGGTCATTTCCAACGTTGATTCAACGTTGGATAAACGTCATTTTGCCCGCTGGGCCATAACTGAGACCTTCACAACTCTGCAAATAATACTGTGCAAATGATAAAATGATGTTTCAGATCTTTGCGAAATTATTCAAGTGAATTAAAAAGGTAGCATTTTCCAAAAATAGCAATTTAATTACATCCATATTGCCACCAAATCTATAAGGTGGTCAGCCAAGCTTAAATCTGGAAAGCTAGTTCATTTGTTTTACATACAAGTGTTCTAGGCTAACCCAGTCCTTACTATTTCTGCCACTGCATGACTTGTAGGGGTTATTATAGACAAGCATCAGTATTTTTCTCAAGCCCACCGTTCAAGTTTAGAATTTGGTACCCCAGAAAACTTGATGGAAACATTGGTAGCAATATACAAACATCTTAGTGACTTAGTATATATGGCCTAGCTATGCATGTACTAGCTATAGAGTATGTAGCAATAACATCATTATATAATCATCGTTTTTCACTTCACTCACAGACGAAGTCAGTAATCTTGAATAAATATTAGGGTTAAGGTTGTTTCACCTGCTTGGCAATCAAAAGCGTACTATGAAGGAACACTGATGCTGCAATTTGCTGTATTTAAATCTTCGTGTTAGTCTAGCGAGAAGGTGCATATATAGGCAACTGAAACAGCTGCTGACAAGCCTAATCCTCTTTAAGCCTCCGATACAGACCGGACGCGAGTCGGCAACGCGACGCGAATCAGTCAATTTTCAATGACATTTAACTTTAATATTTTTCTATGTTTTTCAAATATTCACAACCATTTAAGCAATTTTAGCTATTTGGTGTGCATATCTTGTAAATTTTTTGTCCGTTGACGGTTTTATTTGTTTTTAAAAAAATGAACTTTTCGCGTCGCGTTCCGGGCCTTTAGACAAAAATACGCTGAGATATTAATGAATTTTTACATTGAAATGCAATCTATGTTTACAAAAGCTATATTTCGCATTTGTTTGTTCGTTTAATCAGCTGATTCATTAAATTACACACGAACCTGTATGCAGTACAAGAACTGAAACCCCGATAAAAAAACTCAATAATAATTCATGAAGAAAAGACAAAGGAAATAACTACTGACATGCAGTACTGCATGTGTTGGTGGTTTTTCATGATAAAACCAGATCCCCGCTCTGAATTTCTTTCTCTTTCGAGTTTTCCTTTCAGGCATCAGGCTGGAGCTAGAGCGTTCTATTTACTCCCGCCAGCATTTGTCGGGAGGACTCGAAGTTATAAGCCTTAGGCTTCATAGAGATTATAAATAACACTAGAGGAGGCATTGAGTTTAAAAATTGGGAACGCAGCTAATGGGGGGCAAATTCAAGTCCCGGATATAAAATCGTGCTCTCACTGGCTGATTTGAAACTCGTCACCAATGGGAACATGAATACACATCCGGGACTTGAATTTGCCCCCCAATAGTCGCGTTCCCTTTTTTTATTGAATTAAGATTACAATGCCTCCTCTAGTGTTATTTATAATCTCTATGTTAGGCTTAGCATCACGTCATCACCATTACTATAAAAACAGAACTCTCCAGGTCTATCATAGGTCAGACCGTTGCAGGCCTGCAGGTTAGGTCTATTAAAATTGCAGGCCTGCAGGTTAGGTCTATTAAACATCAAATATAATGCCTGAAGAAATCCTTGAAATCTTGACAAAAATCCTATAATTAGTTTTATTTAGAGAATTACATTAGCTGTATACACAATGTATGGGCAGATCATTTTTAAGGAATTACAACTACAGTCTACATGTACTCAGGGTAAAGTCTTACCCCGTTTACATTACGCTCGATTTTTGATAAAAGTGGTACGGTAGTACCAATTTTATCTGTGCCGTACCAAAAATTGAGCGTAGTGTAAACGGGGCTTAAATTAACCTGATGAGTGATTAGGGCCTTTTCCCTATATACAGTAGTACATTAGCACCATTCTGTGTTGACTTGAGTATGAGATGTCAAGAATGTGCATATGAGAAAGCAGGCAGATGCAACTTTCTCAACGAGGTTGAGCCTTTTATGAGTAATAAAAAGGACCCATGCAGTTCATATGAAAATCTTGCTCAGTTGCTTACAACTGGGGGCAAGCAAAGGGCCAACTTGCATGGGGTCAATTGGCCTTTTTCACGAAGGCCAAAATCTAAATTTACCATTATACAACCAACTACAATACTACAAAGAGGCATTTCGTAGTGCGGAGACCTTCAAACGTGGGAGAGGCAGTACCCCAAAATTGGTGGGAAAATCAGCCGTGCGAAAGGTCAATTGAGATTATACTCTTGATTCTGCTATTAGTCCGTGTGTTGTGACCCGATATCGTTCACTTTCATTAAGCATGTCTTAGATCTGAAATATTTTTACGGGAACTAACACTTTCAAGCACCGACGCTGAGTTCAAATCCGGAAAGTTCCCACTCCGTAGACCCGCATTTTTCTCACAAAATCGGCTATTTTATAATTTCATGACAAATTTTTCATTGTTCAACGACACGGATCGATGACGATACAAAGGACCGATAAAAGGACCATTTTCGTTTAATTAACTAGTTGTCCTTTTAACAAAAGACCGGTTTTGCTCGAATTGCTCGAATCATTTTGAGTTATGTAATCTTATGCGTGTTGGGCGTAAACAATATATCTTGACAACTTTGAGAAAGTACAGATGACGCTTTCTAAAATCCTCAGTTCTAGAGATATCTCTATAAAATCACAAGGACATTAATGCGAAGTCTTTTGGCTATGTCACAGGCCTGAAAAATAACTCTTTTAACGCGATCAAGGTATTTAAAACAAAAGTAACGCGAAGCCAACGTTACGGCAAAGACAACGCTAAAATGAAATATTGTCGATTGGTTGTTGGTAGTGAGAACACTTACGACAGGATCAATCACTTAAATAACCTTAAACTAGAAGAATAAATGTTCACATCAAAGACAAAGAGCAGTCCCAAAGTATAAAATATGCTCTCTAAACTTATGTAGCGTCCCGGGATCCCAATTATCACTTCAACACACTCAGTTAGAATCTGCTTTATCAAGGACAATCTTTCTATATTTATAGTCTAAATAAATAGGGCGTTTACAATGACTACACAATTTACATAAACTACGTCAAGGATGCATGGCGATACGGAAGGGAGTGATCGAGTCGGCCTACCGCAATATGCTAAGTCATCGACCCACGCGCAAATAATGCTAATTCATGTTACACAATCGTAACACCACTCTCTTCCTTTAGTGTTCTCGTCCCGAGGACACTCGAGATGTTTTCTACATATTATACAAAAATGTTTTAAAAGCCATAGCGATCTGGAGGTCTTACAGTTTGTCTAAGTCTGGCAGGCCTTGCTCTAGTTTCCCACTTAATCTTGAGGTGCAACGTCAACCACCCGAAACTCGCCTACTTCCCTAGCTGGGCAAACAAGTTCACCCGGTTGAAAAGGGACATAACTTAACTTAAGTTGATCATGATGAACAACTTTCTCCACGCCACTCCTAGATATCACTTTGTAATTAACCCCTAACCGTTTTAGTATTCTGTAAGGTCCAACCCATTTACTACCTAATTTCCAGCATTTTGGGTCGTCTGAGCATGACCGTTTGTCCTTCATGAAATGGCCGCCAGGTGTTTGTTCCCTGTTTGTGCCCGGCTCGTTTCTTGGATACTTTGGTGAGCTGCTGCTTTGCGATTTGTCTCACGTCACGAAATACCGACCTTAGTGATTGCATGTATTCATTGCGTGTAACTGGATTTGAAAGAGGCATTCCTAGCTCTAATTCTAAAGGCAGGCGAGGTGCACGACCAAAAACTGCCCCGTAGGGTGAGACACCTAGTACATCATGCCCACTTGTGTTGTACGCAAACGTGACGCTGTCTAGCCACAAATCCCAATCATCTTTCCGACTAGAAACAAAAGAGGACAGCATGCTTTGGAGTGTTCTATTTTGGCGTTCTGTTTGACCATCACATTGCGGATGATACGCCGTTGTTCTAGTCTTTGTTATACCCATAGCATCACAAATTTCATGCATTAAAACGCTCTCAAAATTGCGCCCCTGGTCTGAATGCAAAACCGCAGTGGGCCAAATCGTGAAAATATTCTACTTATCAAAAGCGGCGCGACTGTACTTGCTTTTTGGTCAGGAGTGGCAAATGCCTCACACCATTTTGTAAAGTGATCAACAACGACAAGTATGTGCTTGTTGCCGTGGCTAGTCTCTGGCAATGGTCCCATGTAATCCATTGCCCAAAACGTGAATGGTTCCCCTACAGCAATAGTACCCATTGGCGCTCGATTTAAGTTAACTGGTGAAGTGTGATGTGCACATACTGCACAATGCTTAACATACTGTTCAACGTCAACACGGATACCAGGCCAATAAAAACGTTTTTTCACTCTTTCCTCGGTGCGAGTTACAGTTCCTAAGTGGCCAGCGAAAGGGTTGTGGCATGAACAGCTTTCAAAATTGTGTCACGGACGCACTTGGCACAACAATTACGTAATTGGGGTAAGGGGATCGATTGCCCATGGACCTAACTAGCAAGCCGTCACGAAGAAAAACGCGATTATAATGACTATACCATGTCTTAAGAATGGGGTCTTGTACCTTTGCAGTCGGGGCGTTTGTTACCCCACGCTTTTTCATGTCAATTAACTTGGACAGATATGGGTCAATTTGTTGTTCATTAACAATGTCGAGTGAAGGGTTGACAGATAAGGCACATGATATCCCTTCAGAAACATTTGTGTTTTCGTTTATAGTACTAGAGACATTTGCTATGTTAGAATGGGAAGCCAAAGGCGAATGACTAGCATTAGATTCAACTGTAACAAGAGCCCCCATGGAATCGATCTCAAGTGGTTTTGAACCTTCAAGTCCCGGTAAAATACTTGAAGACATATTGCTTTAATTTTAGTTTTTACCGCTGCCACCAGATTTGTAGCGTCCCGGGATCTCAATAATCACTTCAACACACTCAGTTAGAATCTGCTTTATAAGGACAATCTCTCAATTTATAGTCTAAATAAATAGGGCTTTACAATGACTACACAATTTACATAAACTACGTCAAGGATGCATGGGCGATACGGAAGGGAGTCGGCCTACAGCAATATGCTAAGTCATCGACCCACGCGCAAATAATGCTAATTCATGTTACACAATCGTAACACTTACGACGAAGTGGAGAAATGTCTGCATGAGCAGTTTATTTGGTGATTTCAACGTATATGGAAGCTCTCTTTCCAATAATATTCGCTTATCGCACAGTACAACACCAACTGATGTAATAGTTCAAATGCAATGATAAGTTATCTCTTGAATTACGTCTCGGAAACTGTCAGGTTGGAAATTTAAATGCAGACCATTACATCATAGATTACCGTTTTACATCTTTGTATAAAACATTTTGATCGCATATGTAAGGAATTATTTCTCAGCCCAGAGACATAGCCCAAAGACTTAACATTTACGTCCTTGTGATTTTATAGAGATAGATCCTGAACTAAGGATATTAGCCGAGAAGGTATTATCTGTACCTTCTCAAAGTTGACCTTGAGACAAGATATGTTGTTTACGTCCAACACGCATAAAGTGATTGCATAACTCAAAATGATTCGAGCAAAACCGGTCTTTTCTTAAAAGAAAGACTGGTTAATAGAAATTGATCCCACCCCCTGCATCACAAAAAAATTCAATGCCCCCTTCACATGAATTCTAAAAAATAATACCCCCCTCCCACCACCACCACCACCGACAATATAATAAATGTACAGTACTGTATAGAAATGCGCTCTTTAAACTTGTTCGGTAAAAGGCATCAGCTCTTTCATTTACTTGTGCTTTCAACAATTAGTATGCATGCCTATTTAACCCATTAAGCTGCAGAGTTTCCTGTTGACGAGTAAAATCGTCTGGCGTTAAACAAGTAAAAAATACTGGGGCGTTAACTAGAGACATTGTCAGATGTTTTTATTTAGCGCCGAAGAGGCTAAAGCTGGGGTCATATACCATTTTTCGTTACTAAGAGTGTAGTTGCTTGAAGTTGCTTGAGCCGAAAAAAGTTGCTCCAAACGCAAAAAGTTGCTCAAAAGTTGCTGAGCACAATTGGGACATGCCTAGCAGAGTTTCGAGGGCCAAAGGCCCGAGGAAATTTTTTAATTTAGAGTCTCTGAAATGCCATTTCCTGGACTTTGGGGAAGATTTGACAGAATTCTGTCAAATTGACCCACCCCCTTTTTTTGCCAGCCCACTCCCGGTCATAAATATTAGGGAGCTTAAGCATGCAGGACGGCAACACGACGACGACGGCAACCAATACAATGAGTCAATGAAAAGAAATAAATAATTAAAGCCCCGGGGGAGTTTCAGACGTAGTTGTCGTTCTGTTTACAACGGCAAATCACAGATTTTCACGTCGTTTATACAACGCCTGCATTTGAAGCCGTAACAAGTGCAACTTAAAATTCGGTTCAGTAGAACTCTTCCCAAACATAAAGCCAATGTTTTCAACTTCTTATACTGTATTAAATTCATACGAATTATAATATACGACAACTATCATTTATTTGAAGGAATTTGTTTTGGCCATCGTCGCCGCGTTGCCGTCCTGCATGCGCTCGCTAATGAATGGTCCTTGAATGGCCCTAATTATTCTGCAATTAAAAAATTGAAGCTGTGATTGCAGACTCAGGATATTCCCATGAAATGAGAAGACTCGTATGTTTGCTATTTCTTAAACAGGGAACTTAAACATTAAGTTAAACCTATACCAAATACATTTTCAAACTATTCAAATGATGAAAGTTATTGTTGTTTTTTAAGCGTTTATGAGCGAGTGGGAAACTTCAACATGACCGCCATCTATTCAAATTGGGTAACCGCTGGAATGTTTTTGGCTTCAATTTTACTAAAAGAGATGCGCTATCTAGTGTAAAGATATCTATGGTCACAACAAACGGACTAATATAATCTTAATTGTTTTGTTCAAACATTTAATCTATATATATATAGCGGCGTGCGTTCGATGATATTACTGAGCAGCGTGAAAAAGAGAAAGATCCTTTCCAATTTAATTAAATTTGCACCTTAATTGAAACGAAATTGATTTTATAAATGATAAATCAGACTTTTGAAATTCGTGTATTTTTCAGCATTCTAATCACCGTTTTTGGTGTAGAAACTTACGGTTTGCCGCAGAGAACAAACATGCATGACTGTAGTATACTGTATACAGTATATAATACATCGCACAATGAAATACATGCAGACAGGCAGGAACTGACTAAAGAGAATGTATATAATACTAATAGTATATTAAATCATGTTCCTGTCTATTCCTGCAAACCCTTTTAACATCATTCTTTCCGCTTCAGCTAAACTTGTACAAGATTTTTTAAGAACCAGTCCCGTTTGGCCGTTCGGTTCGGCCTGAAGTGCATGGTTCTTGTATTTTGAGTAAATTTCAATGTAAATATAGTTATGGCTGTTATTATATTCCCCGGAACTAAAAACCCATTTGGCAGTATACTCAGATACCATACCCATGCAAAACCGCCATTTAACCCACTTGAACATCTCCCCCTCCAGCCATGAGATTTCGGTCAGGCACATTCTACTTAAAAATCGGGCAATTTGCTAGGCCTGTCCTCCACGACCTCGGTATGATGTGTTTTTTTTTAATATTGTTGATATTAATGTTGGTTATGGTAAGAGAAAGGATTAGCATCGGACGAACTGGACGAGGCAAGCAAGTTCCGCGTTTCTTTTGACTATATAAATTTGTTACTTTATATAATTCTTATAATAGAGCATTTGTAAATTCTGAACGCTGATTGGATAAGAGCCGTGTTGATATAACTCAATGTCAACACGGAAACGTCGGAAAATTTCTTTCTTTATATTTCTTTGTGCTATGCTGTAAAACAAATATAAAACATTTTTCCCGTATTGATATATTTTTCCGTATTGATATTTTCCGTATTGATATTATATCAACACTCGTGGAAATTGGAAAAACTCGAAATTGTTTCCACACAATTTCTCGTTTTCCCAATTTCCACTCGTGTTTATATAATATCTGTAGATCAACACGGAAAATGTTTTATATTTGTTAAATACAAACGTTTCACTTTTCAATACGTCGTCTTGACATCACGCCTGAATATTTTTGTTGTATCTTAAGTTATATAGCAAATAGTCAATGTGAATTTTTCTCCGACATTAAATCTCCTTAAAGGTTACCTATGAAATAGCTATATATAAACGAATAAAAGAACATTTTGTTTTGTATGCTGAGACGGCTTAGTCCTGGCGGAGGTAATTGAGGGATAATTGACAATTGTGTTTCAAAAGGGCATGCACTTGCATGTCGCGACCTCGCCGTCATCCTCGTCCCCAGGCCCCAGCTCGGGCGGCCCTCACAGTGACCTCCCGTGCTTAGGCCTGGGGACGAGGATGCCTCGCCGTCAATTAACTGCTTCGTCCCCAGGCGCCAATAAAAAGATTTCATGCGAGTCACTATATGAAAGGTTTACATGAAGTAGTGCATCGCGATGAACAAGCGCGGGGGTTTACAGAACGCTCATATCCCATCCCCCTTTGCGCGCCTATAAAATGTGACACACTACTTCATGTAAACCTTTTATATAGTGACTCGTATGTGAAATCTCAGAAGACTAGTTTTTCGCATATATAATGAAGAAACAGCTCCTATAAGTTGGACTAGCTATTCTATTAATTAAAAAGAGTTATCGCGATAATTTAAAGTGATGTTTTACAATATCGTGTGAATATTGCGGAATAAAGCTAAACCATGCGCATGCAGATTCCCCTAAGCGAGTGCGAGTTTTACAATGTTGAAGATAGCAATCTAAATTTAACGATACGAGGCTAGAATTTGCATTTGAAATAGAAAATAAGCCGATCTAAGACTAGGTATTCTAACCAATAATTAATTGGTAATAACTGTAAATAAATTAAATTCTTTGCATTATAGAAAAAATTAATTCACTTGTTTACATATATATTATAATTAGTAGCTCTTCTTTGTATACCTTCCACCATTATTAATTGATTTCAGTTGTCTGAGGTGCCCAGATTTGGGAGCATTCATATTCTTTTGCTTTTTTCGACATACACGAAGATTGTGGCATTTAGATGGCTGGAAATAGATTTCATATTCAATGGACCAGGGGCCGGTTGTTCAAAGCACGTTTAACTAACCCCGTGGGTTATATTTAACCATTGCTTTGGTTTATGTATATCTGTACGTATGTTTATCTTTCAAAATTTAGAAAATTAAACTTCTGATGATCCAGACAAGAGTTCTGAAAAAATATTTCCAAGTTTATAAACAAGCTGCTGGAAAGTATGCTTTGAATTTCATGTCAACCCATGGAGGTTAAGCGAACCGGTTTTTAAACAACCGCGGCCCCAGCTAGTTAATTAAGGCATCTAAATCGTCCTGTAGTGTAGGACTACGCTGTCACTGATTTCAGTAACGGCTTTATATTTTAATCATCAGTAAAAATCGTTACTTTACAGTCATTAATTACAAAATATAGGTCCAGGAATTGACTTCGGGTACACCTGAGGTTACTTCAGTCCATTGTGAGCAGTCACCATTTACAATAACTCTTTGCTTCCTTAATTCCAATTAAATAGTTTTCAAACCATTCGGGTGTTCACCCCATTCTGGCATTCAAATGTTTCAAACCCCTGAAGCACACGCATTCTACACCCCACACACCCTCCTTCTACATTCCTGCATGTCATTTAAGTTCTATAAACCGATCAAGGAACCGTTTACAAAATTTTGAAATGGAGAAGCACATGGCTAGTTTTTAAGCGCCGATATTACCAAAAACTGTACTGAGAGGCCTTCAAATGTCAAACAATGGGGCTTCGAGAAAGGGTAAAAATTCTGCTGCTTAATTAAAGTTTGCGGTTGAAACGTGTGTGTTTGGACGTCCAAACGTACAATAGTAGATAAGGACCCACGTTGGATACTAATGACGTAATATGACGTCATCTGAAATTTTCCTACGAAAAAGTGTGTGTGCGCGAGGTGCACCCTAAATTTATGTATGACGTCATAGGGTGTGTACTGAAGGTGCCCACTGAAGGCGCACACACAAAAAATTTACAAGTTTGAAATTTGGAATGCTTTGGTGCCCCGCGTCACTCCGACTCCGGCACTCCAACTTTCTCTGGACGTATAGGTACAGTTTTTTCTATCTTTAGAAATGAGATGTTCCCAGCGCAGTCCAGTGTCTAAACTGCTCCCTTCATACTTGTACATTTCCAAGTGCATGGAAGTTGGCTGAGGTGATCCCTTTGATGAAAAACGATCTTGATCCGGAGAAAGGGCCCAATAATCGCCCGATTTCCCTCTTACCGATTCTGTCAAAACTATGTGAATGGGTTGCTTACCTTCAACTCACGACATTTTTAACGGTAAGAGGTAAATTATCTAAACACCAAAGTGAAAATAAGAAATTGTACTCTACGGAAACTCTAAATATTTTAACTACCGATTACACACATAATCGATCAAATGGACAAAAAGAATCTCACTGCCATGGTTCTCATAGACCTATCCAAAGCCTTCGACAGCATTAGTCATGACATTTTGTTGCAGAAGTTAATCAAGTTTGATATCTCCTGATCTCCATTTCAGCTATCAAATGGTTTAAAAGCTCTCTAGAGGAAAGATTCCAATCCGTTAGAATTGAAAATCATCTCTCCGACCCAAAATTGATAACACATGGAGTTCCTCAAGGATCAATATTGGGGCCTCTTTTTTTTAGTCTGTATGTCAATGATTTACCAACTATACCCAAATCTGCAAATACGGAGTCGTATGTTGACGATACCAAGTTGTTTATGTCTGTGAATTGGAATAATTTGGACAATAGTCTGAAAGAACTAAAGTGGGACTTGGACAGCGCAGCTGGATGATGTTGCTGGAATAAATTATTGATAAATCCGGAAAAGACAAAGTTTATTATATTTGGTACGCGACAACTCTTAAAGAATCTGCCAGATGATCTGTCCATCCAGTTTCTGGGAGAGATGCTTATACCATCCAAGTCAGTAAAGGATCTTGGTGTAACCTTGGATCGAGAACTCACCTTTGACGAGCACATAAATAATGTAGTAAAATGTTGCAATTATTCATTATGTCAGATTTCCAGAGTTAGGCATTTGTTCAACAAAGAACACATTGAAGCTATTCTCAACTCACTAGTCTTCAGCAAATTATACTTTAGTTCCACTGTTTGGTCAAACACAACCAAGAGAAATGTTGCCAAGTTACAGCAAGTACAGAATTTTGCTGCTAGAATTGTGGACAATAAGAAGAAATTTGAACACATAACTCCAACGTTGAAAGCTCTGAAAGCCATTCCAGTATCTGATAAGTTGGTATTAAATGCGCGATCATGACTTATAAATGTATGAACGGTCAAGCACAGTCCTATCTGTGTTTCAAGATTATAAACATGTGTGAGCAAACACACCAATGCAATACCAGATTGCAATCACTAATCTGGCAAGATAAAACAACAACTTTGCAGAACAAGCACACGACAGCGGTCTATAGTATTGACAATAACATCCAAAAGGGGGAACCTGTCAATTTTTAAAAAACAATTTAAGACAATTTTATTGAACAAATTTCTAGATTCCTGATTTTAAATATTGTAGAACTTATTTAGCATTTTAATATATTATATAGCATGTTCACAAACTGGAATAATTTAGTAAAAATAGTAACCATAATGATTAAGTAATGATTCAAACTTGTAATTGTTCACTGAAAAGCCCTTTTGGAGAGTGGCTAATAAATACTACTACTACTACTACTACTACAGTGTCGAAGAAGAATGATTTGGCTTCGGTGTCCCCGATTTTATCATGCCCAGTTCTTTAGAATAAAACTTCTTTCCCACTTGGAAGCCATCCATATCGATGATGCCTACGATATCCTTTGCTGTGCACGCCATGTTGCGCATTTCAAAAGGAGGAAAAAGGGAGTTTGACGAATACAAAATCGTACTGATTTTTACTCATTTATGAGACCATACGACCTGTAGATTGGTGCCTTATTTTGACAGCCCAAAACCCCGAGAGAACCCCCAAGTCCCGTCAAATTTTGTGAGCTTTTGCTCAAAGTCCCGTCAAATTTTGTGAGCTCTTGAATTGCTCAAAGTCCTGTCAAATTTTTTCAACGCTTTCCATAATACTGTGATTGAATTTGTCCCAACCCGCTCAACTTATGAGCGCATGCCGCAATGACAGCTCAGAGCATCCACTCATAAGCTCATCTTGTATGAGCGTATGAGTCATAACTGCTCAAAACTACAGTGCTGCTCAATAACAAGGTATTTCTGCACAGTCAGTGCTAACCAATGGTGCTAACGGAATGAGCTGCCAATTTTGCGGACAGCAAAATAACCGTGGTTAAAATCTACGTAGACACGAAAAAGAGTATTGTGCCCTATGTGCACCGAAGAAAGAAAGGGATTTCCAAGACGACGTCTCGACAACTTCAACTCATGGGTCTGAAATTCCGATGATAATGAATCAGAAACTGAAGAAGAAATGGACCCTTGGATACCGTTGATAGAGGCAGGAAAGGAAAACTGAAGTAATATAGCTTTTGAGGAAATGAAAGAAAGTCTTATCAACAGTGATCTTGATGAGCAATCCGCTAAGGACAAAGCTTACTCTAATATTCTGCCTGAACTCCAGAAGGAACTGGAAAATGTTTATATGGAGCGTCTCCATGGGCGTCGATCCTGGGGGATGGGGGGACGCGTCCCCCAGTTTTTGGAGTGGGGGGACGAATATCTAATTATCCCCCCCACACACACACACTTTTTAACATGTTTAATGAAATTTTGTTTCTTGGGAATCTGAAAACCTAATCCATGGTATGCTATTCGTCCAGACTAGTGGTTGGAACGAAGACAGTTAATAAGGTGAAGTACAATGTATGACCTTTCTGTAGCCGCTGGGAGCAAACACTTACATGTATCTCATATGTTATGTGAATACTAAAAAATATTCAAATTGAATTCAAATTTGTACATGTGTTGTAATTTTATAAACATTTGCATAAAGGCACAATTTGTCGTATTCACTTCCTGTTCTAACTGGCAAGTTGCACTGAATGAGAAAATAATTCGTTATATGCTTGTTTTTGTTTTTTATTATTACGCCCGTAAAAAGTATTTAGGAGTTATTTACATTTTGTTTTTCTAATTTGGATAGGCTAGAGGCCTTCTAGAAACCTAATAAGCTTTTTAATTAAGACCCCTTGCATTATTTCATTCTTATATTTAGTCGATCAGTTCAGTGGCGTAACTCCTATGGGTTCAGACCGTGGGGGCCCCCAACCCCAATGAGCCTAACGGGGGCCCCCATGCAGGCTCAGGCTGTAGAGCAAAAACATTGGCCAAAGAGACCTCTGATACGTTACAATGTCATTTTCTGACCATCAGAATTCTGTAAAATCTCTCCCCCCAAAGTGCAGGAAATGGCATTTCGGAGACTCTAGATTCAAATATTTTCCGGGTGAGCCTGCACATACGGCGCTTAAATCGTGCCTTTGACACTTCTACTAGGGGGGCCTTCAAAAATTTTGATATAATATAATATCAATATAACGTTACGCCACTGAGTCAGTTCGAATTATTATCTTGAACAAGGATAAAATTATATATACTATATATGTATATTTACAGTAAAGAAGGTGATAATATATTTTAAACTATTATATATCAATTAAAAAAAATATTTTAAAAAATCTCGGGTAGCATACCTCTGGACCTTCCTAATTTGGAGTCCGTCCCCCCCCCCCCACTTTTTGGGATGGATGACGCCCTTCAGCGTCTCTTGTGGATGAGAACAACTACATAGGAAAATAAAAAAATAGAAAAGATGCGCTTGTGGAAAACGATGATTTTGATACAGAAGAAGCGCTAGAAGCAGCTGTTCATATGAGAAAGTTTCTTATAAGAAGGCTTTTAAAGGGTTACGATTTTGATGATAATGATGAAATCATGTATTCCAACAGTATTATGGCCTATTATCATGTAAAAACATACCAGTATAGACACAGCATGTAAGTACGAGTCATTAAATAAATTGTTTTTCAATATACATGACTTTTCTTTTACATGAGTCGGCCGGGCATAAAAGAAAACGATAAAAACTAGCGAATACGAAAATGTATACATTCGTGTACATAAACTTTCCAATTTTTTGCAGTGGTGTCTGGGCTTCCACGAACGAAGAATGTACACCCAGTCTTCGGGTCATCGGGCCTAAACTAGCCTGCTCGCAGCCTGAAATTTAGAAGGGGGAATTTTTTCAGACTGCGAGCAGGCTAGGCCTAAACGGGCCTTATGAGCAGATCGATGAGCATGCGCTCATGAGCAGTTATGAATATGTGTTATAATATAGCATTTGTTGATTGGCTAAGAGCCGTGTTGATATAACTCAATTTCTTTGCGCTATATTATAAAAATGTAAAACATTTTTCCATATTGATACACAGTTATATCAACACTCGTGGAAATTGGGAAAACTCGAAATTTTGCCCGAATTCCACACAATTTCTCGTTTTCCCAATTTGCACTCGTGTTGATATAACTGTATATCAACACGTAAAATGTTTTTTATTTTTTGTTTAATGTTTTATATCCAGGATGAGCTTATGAATGGGTGCTCTGAGCCGTCATGCGCATGCGCTCATAACCTCGTGCAGGATGAGAAGTTGAGCTGGGTTCGGACAAATTCAATCACTTTGAAACAATTTGACTTTGAGCAAGAGCTCACAAAATTTGACGGGACTTTGAGCAAAAGCTCACAAAATTTGATGGGACTTGGGGGTTCTCTCGGGGTTTTGGGCTGTCAAAATAAGGCACCAGTCTACAGGTCGTATGAAGTGGGTAGCAGCATATGGTCTTATAATTAATGTGCCTCTCTTCCATGTTTTGTCTAAAAATCAGTACGATTTCGTATTCGTCAAACCCCTTTTTCCTCCTTTTGAAATACTCAACATGGCGTGCACAGCAAAGGATCGCGGATATCATAGGCATCATCGATATGGATGGCTTCCAAGTGGGGAAGACGTTTTACTCCAAAGAACTGGTTATGATAAAAGTCGGGGACTCCAAAGCCAAATCCTTCTTCTTCGACACTGGACTGCGCTGGGAACATCTCACTTTTAAAGGTAGAAAAACTGCACCTATGTCCAGAGAAAAAAGTGCCGCGGGGCACCAAAGCATTCCAAATTTTTAACTTGTCGGGAATTGTAGAGAGTTTCTACCGTGAAATGTATGTAGATAATGATGTAGACTCTAACTCTACATGCAGTTGCCTACAAAGGCAGGCATTATGAAAGGGACTTGCTGACAAGTCTCAGTATTCCGACCGTAAATTTGGAATGCTTTGGCTGTCCGGCCTAAAGCCGAAAAACTCTTCGACCAACTCATATGGTTAGAAACCTGCGGAAACCACTTGGAAGCCAACGTTTATCAACATTGCGCAAAAGTTGAAGTCGATCGAAACGTTTGCGATGTGGATACAACAATAAAGACAAAAAATGGTTCTTTTAAGAAACACCAAATTCATAAAAATAATACAAATGAAACTTTATTTACTAACGTTAATTTTTTGTGTGCGCGTCTTCAGTGCGCACCCTATAGCTATGATATTACAAATAAATTTAGTGCACACCTTCAGTACACACCCTATGACGTCATACATAAATTTAGGGTGCACCCCGCGCGCGCACACGTTTTCGCAGGAAAATGTCAGATGACGTCATATTCCAAAGACGACGTCAAGCTCATTAGTAGGGAGCTTAAGCATGTAGGACGGCAACCAGAGGTGTAGCCAGGGCTGGGGCCGGGGGGCCGCACCCCCCCCCCCCCTGGCAAAATTTTGGGCCCCCTCTGATAAAATCTATTGTATAAAAAAGGGAATCCTCGATTATATAGCTTCATGCTGTCAATAATGCAAAAATTCTGTAGAATATATGCTTTGCTGCGCATCGGTGTTCAACCTAAAATCTTGTTCGCTTATTTGTGGCACACAGCTTGAAACACACCTTTTCTAACCCTAATTAGGGAAAGTACATTTATTATGCCGAGGGGGGGGGATGAAAATGTTAAGGGGGGGCTCCGAAATATTCTCTGGCATTAAAGGGGGGGCTCTGAAAGTTCTTGATATACTGAAGGGGGGGCTCTAAACTTTTCAAAGGTTTGACCCCAGCAAATTAAAGTTAAAATTTTTACATTTTCAGGTAAAATTTGCGTAATAAAGTAATTATTTTTGTGAAATGATAACCATTCTTGTAAAATACAGTCAATTTACATGCAATTTGTTTGCGAAATTTGCTTTAGAAAACGCCAGAAATTCAGTCCTAGAGCTTCAAAAATGTAAAAATTTTCTGGGGGAGGACCCCCAGACCCCCCTTTTCTCCCAAAACTTAGTATGAGAGTGCCAATACGTATAATCCTCTGACACCCCCACCCCAAACGTCAGATGCTTTGCTACGTCCCTGATGGTTGTATTCGAAACCGATTTCAGTTTTAAGATATCCTTAGTCTGCTCTTCTAAATGGATACATGAAATCACCTATAGCTTATTTTAAATTTTTTGGCGCCAGGTTTGTGAAGTAACTTACGCGCCAAAAAGTAGCAGTTCCAAAAACAAAAAAGCATATACGATTTGCAAGAATGATGTGTTCTATGTTTATGGGATATTTCGTACAAACGGAATGGAAATTAAAGAAATTGAAGCATAATGGCACTTTTGCATGCATTTTTGACAGGCATACAAAGACATTTGCAACAGATGCCGGAAGACACTTGGGTGGGGGCGACATTCTGTAAGGTTCCAGCACATTACCCTGATCCAGGAAATCCTGGCCACTACATGAACGTGTTCAAGACTCCGAATACGCTGAATGATGGACAAAACAACCTGTTGATAATTTCACCCCTAGAGCCAATTTAAAATGTTTTAAAGACGGTGCCATTTCATCTGGCGCTAGTGAGGTGAAAGAAGCAGCAGATCGGTAGTTTTGTTGAGGAGAAGCACATGCTTCAGTATATCAGACATCTTGAGGAACTGCAAATTGTATCCATGATAAGAGAGAATTCTGGATTGTACTCCTTCGATTCCGAATTCTACAGGGGGGGGGGCATTGAAAATTTTAAAAACTTGGAGGGGGGGGCATCGAAATTTACCGATAACCTCAACAGGGGCCCTGTAAAAATATGAGCTTTTTTCAAGACATCTTCATCCCCCCCCCCCTCGGTGTAATAAATGTACTTTCCTTATTTCAATATGTATTAAATGAGGGTTAGATGAAGTTTAAACCAGTCTGGGTTTTTACCAGTGAATTTTTAACGCGGGCTCGGCGGGCTCAATTTTGTCGGAATCTTCGTGGTGAAGCATCGTAAAGCAATTGTAATGTTATTGTCCGGAAAAATTTTTACCCATAAAGTTGTCGACGGGGGGAGGGAGGTGGGGATTTAAAATGTTGTGGTGCGAAAAATTTGTTGGCCCTACCTGGGTTTTTGCTGGCCCCTCCTGACCAAAAATCCTGGCTACGCCTCTGACGGCAACACGACGACGACGGCAACCAATACAATGAGTCAATGAAAAGTGAATAAATAATTAAAGTCCCAGGGGAGTTTCATGCGTGGTCGTCGCTCTGTTTACAACGGCAAATCACAGATTTTCACGTCTTTTACAGTACTGATACAACGCCTGCATTTCAAGCCGCAACAAGTGCAACTTAAAATTCGGTCAGTAGAACTCTTCCCAAACATAAAGCCAATGTTTTCAGCTTCTTATATTGTATTAAATTCATACGAATTATAATATACGACAAGTTTTCTTTACTATCATTTATTTGAAGGAAATTGTTTTGGCCGTCGTCGTCGTGTTGCCGTCCTTGCTTAAAACTCCCTAGTATTCCGGCCAACATGGCCCTTATCTACTTACAATGTATGCAAGCTTTCATTGTTTAGGTTGTTTACTGGTTGTTTACTAGGAATTTATTTTTGTGCATGGTTATTCAAATCGAAACTATTTCTGAATTTTTGTTGCGGTAAAAATTGTTTATTTTTTCCCTTCAAATACGAAACTATCTTCGCAATGTTCTAGTATTGACCAGGTTATATCGAAATTTGGTTCATTTTCTTTCAATTTCAAAAAATATTTCGAACGATTTAATGTGGTTTCGGTATACCGCTCTTTATACCTGGTTCACCATTAGCTCGAAGCAACTGATGCTACGGGTTCAGAAGTAATTTTTATGGATTATTATAAAAAAGTAATCAATCTTATCGACACAACTTGCTGATGTGTAAATTGAAAAGCTATGGAATCAATCCCTTTATCTTAAATTGGATTCATGATTTTCTAAGCCATCGAAAGCAAAGAGTTAAATTGGAGAACGACATCGTCTCGTGTTGGGATGAGATTCTGGCCGGCGTACCTCAGAGAACTAAGTTAGGGCCATGGATTTTCCTAGTGATGATTAGTCCTTTGAAATCGTAGAAAAACAAAGGCAAAGCACCGCGTAAGTTTTTGTTGACGAAATATCTTATCGGACATATCATAACAAATTTCAGATTCAATAAAGCTATGTAAAGAAATAAGAATTTCCTTTAAACAGGTTCCGTCCATATTCAGTGATTTGCACATAAATGGCAATCCTGTCGAGTCCTTTCAAGCTCTGGGTCTGACCATTCAAAGTAATCTTAAGTGGAACTACGTGTCGAAAAAATTTGCAAAAAGGCGTCAAAGCGTCTTTTCAAATCATGGATTTAGTGAAATTATATACTACTTGTATTGGTCCCTTTGTTAATACTTTTTGTAAATAATTTAAAAGATTTTTTAGCTTCATCTTCTTCTTAACTGTAAACCTTATCAATTCAGTATGTATACTGCAAGTCAAGGTATTGAATAAAACCATCTATCGTAACAGAGCAGGTTTAAATTTTGGAGTTCGGGCTAAATTGAGGTGTAGGGCGTATTAGGAGATGGTAGAAAGGGGGCGAAATTTAAACAATATGTCTAAAGCCTGGCGCACACGATGCGATTTTAGTCGGCCAATAAAAATCGTTTGACTAAAACTAACAAAATCGTTGTGTGTGCGGTGTCATTTTTATTTAACCGATTTTTGTTGCTCGATTTTAATCGGACAACATCAAAACGTTTTGATATTATACGATTTTTATCGGTGGAATTTTAAGTATAACCAATCAGATTTCATGCTGTGATCACGTGCTTGTATTTATTTGGCAACATGGCGGCTACAGTTCAGGGAGCGTATTTTTTTCGTAATCGTGTGCAGAGTATACCGATGTATATCGGTATGTCAAACGATTTTCATCGGCCGACTAAAATCGCATCGTGTGCGCCAGGCTTAAGTTACATCGCTGGTACATGTTTTTAAACAGAGCAGTGATAGAAACATGAACATGTATTTTGTTGGAAGTTCTCTATGGTTGTTTACCATTTACATGGAAAACCCATCCGGTTTGAAATTGTGCCAATGGTAAGCAAAATTTCGAATAGAAAATCCCATTCGGATTATGCGCTTTCCATTTAGAATGACTGACCGGAAGGCACTGAAGGGTTGTTTACCATTTATATGGAAAACCTATCCGGTTTGAATTAAATCGCGAAGAGCCTGGAACTGGTGAAAAAATAAAAAATGTAAATGGAACAAAATTCATCGGTTGAAACGTTCCAATCGGTAAGAGAGGACAACCTTTTCAAACAAACCGTCCATTCCGGAAAATTTCCGGTTGGGCCGTCGAAATATGCTTGTTCCATTTACTTTCCGTATGGAACAACCGGAATTTCCATGTAAATAGTAAACAACCTATGTTATCGACGAATAATGACATTCGTTCCTTTATTCTTTCGTTCCATCGCGTCTTTTTTACATTGTTTTTGTAATATTGTCACACAAAAATATTTCAGAGGTCACGCAACATTGCCCTAGTCCGATATTTTTTCTGATTATAAATTTAATGTGAAATGGTTGCAGTACCTCCTGAATGTCTTTCAACATGCTTTCTTTTTGCTTGCAAAACTCATCTCTTTCTTGTGCAAAATTATCTTCTTTCATTTCAAGTTCATGCTAAACAATAAAATAATGACAGTATGAGTGCGCGTTCATATGGGCCTTCTGCATGCATTTTATTACAGTCAAACCGGATGTTCTCTTGTGAGCAATATTGTCCCACAATTAGCCATTCCGAAGTTGATGAGTGCACTGGGGCGAGTGTTAAAAAGTGCCCAAATTAAAGCCCTGGGCAAACTAGGAAACAATGTTGTGGAAACATTTGTGATTCTCGATGTTTCCTCAAATGTTTCCCTTTTGCCCACCCGTGGAAACATTGTTGCGGAAACGAAATTTGCTTCCTGAGAAGCAAAAGTGTTTCCTAGCAAATTCAGAAACATTTGATGTTTCCCTATGTTTCTCACTAATGTTTCCAAGTGTTTGCCCACTCTTGGAAACATGGCGAAACATTGGTAGGAAACAATGTTTCCGCAACAATGTTTCTTAGTTTGCCCAGGGCTTAGAAAATGAACCAAATCACTAAAATGACTACCTCAAAATTAGTAAGTATACAAAGTTTGAAGACGTTTACATGAATACCCTTCCAATAATAAGCTTTCGAAAATTGTGAAATTACTGATTAAAAGACTGTTTTTGGGACGCGCGTCCCAAAAAACAAAAATTACAGTACATTTCATAGTAAATATCGCGTTTTTCGAAAGCTTATTATTCGAAAGGTATTCATGTAAACGTCTTCACACTTTGTATACTTACTCATTTTGAGGTGGTCTTTTTAGTGATCTAGTTCATTTCTTAATTTGGATACTTCTCAACACTCGTCCCCAGTCCTCTCATCGACTTCGGAAAGGCTAATATTGCAATTTTGATAGGCAGATTGCTCTGAGCAACTTGCAACCGACGCGAACAAATGGACCTATTACCTAATAACCCAAATTTTGATCTCAACAAGTCTAGACAAAAAATTTCACCACAGCTTGAAAGAACATCACAAAATTAGTAATATTCCAAAGTTTCGTTGCAAAATGCGGATAATATAGCCGTGCGAAGTTTGCCGTTTTGCAGTCATTTTGTATTATGCACGGGAAATTGATACCGCTTTCTGAAAAAGGTATTTCATTGCGATAGCTTTTATAGCTTTTACGTCACATGAATTCAAGCAGTGTCCAGTTTTTTTGGGACATCCGGTATGTGATAGAGTGATGCCAGTAAAAGCTATATGCATGCGTAAACTATCCAGATTCTGGGGTTCGTTCGACAGAACCAATAAATATAGTACATGGTTTTTTTTGTGGAATACATTTGCATTAATCGAATCCAAAAAATCCCATGTATTATTGGTTTTGTCTAACGAGATGCCCAAAAATCTGCATAATAACATATACCAACATTATATATTTGGGCAATTGATAATTATATTATTAAAAGTAGATATTTTCATGTACTTTTACAAAAAAAGTCAAAACTATATATGACATTGTAGCGAGCTTGCGTTTGGTCAGGACTGAGTGTCTGGCTAATTAATAAAATGAGGATTTCTGCATGCATGTATTTCTGTAGCATAAGTCATTTGCCATACCAAATATTTCTTTTTATCAGCTTGAAATGAGCTTTCCATTTTCGCTTTTTGTTCCATAATGGTATCCAATGCCTCACGAAGAGTCATCACCTGAGCCTGCAAGGATATCTGATCACCACTTGCGTCATGTACCTGGAGCTCCTGGAAATACATATACAGGGTATATAAAAAAAAGGTAATCGAACTTCAGCGCGCTATTATACGTGAATCACTCGGCGTATGAACAATTGGTTTTCATATTCGGAAAGATCAGGCTTTTAGCTATTGAATGACATGCTTTTCATACCAATTGGAGAAAAAATAAGCATGTACGAGGCCGATCAAAAATGCTAGTCAAAATCGCATATTTTCACCTCGTGTCTAATTAAAACAATGCATAACAAAAGAAAAAGCAATTGATCACGAACGTGTCGTAGCTTAGCAAAGATTTATTCCTACTTAATAATAATAATTATGAATATGTGCGTCGTTTATTGAAGTGAAATTCATCAACTTGAGTACCAAAGTGGGTTCGTTTTCAATGGTTTTAGACCCAACTCTCAACGGTGAAAATATGCGATTCTGACTAACATTTTTTATCGGTTTCGTATTTGCTCATATTTATCCATTTGGCATAAAGAAGATATCATTCAACAGCTAAAAGAATTAATGATCTTTCCGAATGTGAAAAAATCTCGTTCATACGCATAATAATTCAGATACAATAGCACGCTGAAGTTCGATTACCTTTTTTTTATACACCCTGTATATCAGCTGATTGAGCAACCTCGCAAGCCAGGCTCTCTACTTCCATTTGGGATTGAAGCGATAGTAGAGAGCCTGGCTTGCGAGGTTGCTGAATTTACAGGTACATATTGGCAAACTCCATTGCAGTTACAGTAGGGTTTAAAAGGCTTGAGAAATGACGTACGAGGTCGTAGTTGCATGTACAACTAATTTGGCGTACGTTTTATCAATGTTGGCATAAGATTTTCTGACCTAGTTTTATTCATGTCCTCTGTTGTATTTATTTCCTGTATGTAAGAAATAAAAATGTTTCACGAGCATTTACTGAGTTTTTAAACAGGAGCTGATCTAGCCTCATCTGCAAGGAAGGGTGCATGAGGAAGCCTTACTACCCACTCTCCTCTAAAATGTATGGTCAAGCAGATTTTTTAGGGTGGTGCTGGACTTTTCTACGGGGATGCTAGGGGTGGGATGGGGTGCAAACCCCCTGCATCTTTTTAAAGCATAAAAAGATGAGCTTCACAGCAAGTGGCAAATTCCAGTCAACTCACTTATCCCATACCTGTGTTAAAAGCGGCTTTCTGATTGGTTTAGAGCAGGTGAGCTTGTCGTCGAGCTCACCTGCTTTTTGCCGAGCTCACCTGCTTTTCGCCCGAACTCACCCGCTAAACTGCTTACGTTGCAATAACAATAACAAATATGGCGGACAAGATTTAGCCGATAAACCGAAACTTTAAAGAACTTTTTTCGGTGACTAACATACTGAGACTGAAGAAAAACCAAAGAAAAAATGCAATAAAGGTAATGTAGACGTAGATAAAGAAGTATTTTCTTGCCCAGTGATTTTTTTGGCCAGGAAAATGTTCACAAAACATCGACGAATATATCGCGAAGAGCTACAAATGTGTGTATGGCTTGGTGTATGGGATAAAAACCAAACGTACTTGCAGGTTCGGTGAGTCCGGGATTGGACGCACCTCGGGTGGCTGGAAGTTTCCCGAACTCACCTCGCTTCGCTCGGTAAGTTCGGGAAACTTCCAGCCACCCTCGGTGCGTCCAATCCCGGACTCACCTCCCTGCAAGTACGTTTGTTATAGAGCTAAAGGTCTGAACAAGGTGACATTTTTGGTGTAGACTATAATTTGAACATCAAAGTTTCAATTCTGGCACCATTGTTGCCAAAGCACTGTGGACAGCGAGATGGAAAATTGATGACAGTAATTCGAATTGGGTAATGCTTGTTGTCGAAAGGATTTTCTGGTGAACACAAGGAACTGTATTAAGAGTACATAATCGAACATTTCTTTGATACTAGTACTTTACATACGAAAAGCACTTTTCGGCGTACAATACGGGTCCGTACGCCTACTTTGTAACCCCTGGACTATGATAACCTTTCTGATACATAACACAGTATACTGTATTTACTATTTACCTCTGTCTTTGCAGGTTTGAAATGCTGAGATTCTTGTATATTTGTACTATCACTAGTACTTTCTTTCACAATATTTTCACTTTCTTCATTTAAACTTTCATCTAGGTCACTATCTTTCTCTGCAGAATCAACATTACCACCAGTACTTAATACACGTAAACTCTTCTCCAAAGCATTCTTTTCCTTCTGTAAGCCTTTGTATGCCTGGACAACATCTATACAAGAAGCCAGAAATTGATAAAGTTATATCATCAAGGGTAACAATCCGTTCAAGAAAGTGGGGGAGGGGACGGAATCGATGAGTAGATCTAGAGGCATGTGTCCCTAAATTTTGTTGTATACTATTTCACAACATTACTTAGAGCAAAATCAATAAACCAGTTTTTATTGCTCAATTGAAACAGAGCTGATCACACCATTAGAAAATACTTATTAATTAATATAATCACATCTCATATATTGTTTAATACAGATGCATTACACCTGTGTTCATATAAACAAAGTTGCCTGTTAGTATATAAAATGGAATAGGAGGAGAACGGCATTTTGTAAACCATCGTCCTGACCTATTTTAGAACTTTTCCTTCAGGTAATCAATGAGTACTTCTTAGAAAATGAGTTCACATAACTTTCTGATGTGCTTTATTGATTTTGCATGGTACGAAACATTATCATTTATACACAAAATTTTAGGTTAAAAATAAAATAACACAGAAGACGTTTGCTTGAGAGCAGGTGAAATGCTCGTGCAAGTAAATATTACTAAAAGCTTAATGGGGGGAGATAATGGATATTTAGGCACACTTCAAAGTAAGGTAAATATTGATTATTTCCTTCCATTAGACTGACAGTTTGTTGAACTAGCTGTCATTGTGCATATGAAGATGTTATGTTTAATTGACCTGATTCCTACAGTTTAACTTGGGGCAGATCTGTTTAAACAGAGTAGCTGCCTGAGGTCTCATGAACATTGACCTTTCACGTGGACAGACTCAGGCGTAAAGATGAGTCATTCCAAGCTAGATAACACTCGGTCACGAAATCTACATATTACGTCATAGAAACCTAGTTCAATAAAATTACGAGTAAATTTAGTTTAGTAGGTAAAGTAAGGTTCGCATAGGTATAGTTTGAAGTTTTTACTATAACACCTTGATAAGTATTTTAAGTTGTGAGCCTGTTTTGGTATCGATCGATTGAACAGTAGACCGACTTGACCTGTACGACAACGCCTTAAACAAACAGACTTTGAGGGCTGGGACAAGCTAACGACGCCAACCCACGCTCCTGCAGCTCAACGTCGATTGGTTGGATATGAATCATCCCACTTGTTAGACCACGTGTACAAAGATCCCCTCAACCGTTAGTATAAAAGGGCGTGCACAATCGAAAGTCGTCAGTGGACGTAGACGAAGTAAAGCTTAAATGATGAAAAGCTACGAAAACTCAAAACGAAACTGCACGGACAAGGAAGACAAACAAACTAAAGACAACGAAGATTTAAAGGCTGAAGTGAACTTTAAAAACTTCTACAAGAAGAACCTGCCTGAACACGAAGGAACGAACAGTATTGAACATTTAAGAACTGTTAGTTATCTAAAATTTGATGTAACGATTCACTACCTCACGTAGAAAATAAATATATTTCTAACAATTTAACATGGCTAGGTTAACCCATTGAATGGTAATGCGCCAAATACGCGCGTACTTTAGTATTTACTCTGTCGACCGCCAGACGATTTTACTCGTCAGTGGTAGGGTACTGCCAGTAAATGGGTTAACAAACCTACATGAAAGCCCTGGGAACGAGGTTGACCTATCTGCCAATGTCTCTTCTTAACCCATTGACTGGCAATGTGCCCAAATGCGCTGTACTTTAGTATTTACTCTGTCGATCGAACGCCAGATGATTTTACTAATCTGTGGTAGAGTACTGCTAGTAAATGGGTTAAAATATGGATAGGGTGGGTTAATGGTGGATGCACTTTTGACATGAAATGAGGACATGAATTTGTCAGGTTTTAAATTATATAAATTGTTTTCTTAACTATGTCTGCTTTCTATTTGAAAGGATAAAACCATGATGTAATTTGATGATATTTTACAGTATGTCTTACACCATTTGTCCATCCAGTCATCTGTCTGTCTATCTATATCCGCACAGGGCCGTAACTTAATTGGGCATTACATGCAGCTGGGGTGTGTGATATTGTTTTGCCTGACCAGAAGGGCATGGTGAAAGTGACTGAAATGTCATGAAAGCGGGTTGTGCCCGACGGACATTTCAGTCACTAATTAATATTTTTTCCCAACGAGTGTGTCGTTAAAATTGCTAAAATTTAATTCCTGTCAAAACTACAATATTACCACTTTGGGGTGTGGTGGGTCGCACCCCCCCCCCCAGGAGTTATCCCCCTGTATCTGCATTTTAAATTTAACCTGATGGAATTAAAGAAGCTCTTTAATTTCCAACAAGATGACAATTTGCTTTGAAATGGCAATTAGATATAGAAAATTAAAGGACAACATTGGACACAAACTCTGTCTAAGTTGTGACAGCAAAATGGAAAAGGAGGGAAAAAATTCCGAACGCAAAAAAGCAATATTTCAAGCAGCTACATTACTTGTTTTGAAAATAAGATGAGTAACATGCACACTCACCCTAACAGGGCCTCTGAAAAGGCTTTTTACATTTTGGTGACACTGACTTACATTATACTGTGGGCACAATTTTCCAATATAACCGTTTGTAAGTTGCATTGCAATCTAATGCAGCCTACTTATTATTTTACTCTGTCTAATGTCAGATGATTTCTCATCAAAGGTGTCACAGTAGAGCTCACTGAAAACTGACTCAGTCAAAAAGTGGAACTGCCGCCATGTTACGCTTCACGGTGATTCGTCATCAATGCACTCACCGCATTCCTAGTGCACTTATGAGAGGCATTCAGCCTCCTGAATGTCTGCCATTTAGAATATTTTCAGGGGGTGAATGCCTAGATCATAAGCCTACTGAGTACAACTTTAGAATACCAGGCCACAAAAATTGAACTCAGTATATGCAGCATGGCTACTGGCTACTAATGCTGAAAGTTAGAGAAAGGGTGGGTGTGGGAACCAGAAGAAGAAGGGGCCTTCTCTAACCTTCAGCATTGCCTTGAACCATGGTAAACCTGTGCTAACCCTTATTCGGTCTTGTTGACTTGCTGTGTGCACTGCCTAATTGGACGGTGTTCCAGGGAACCAATCAATTGTGATTTTTTGTTTCTTTAACACTGAAACACCGTATGTAGCCAGATAGCCACAAAATCAAGTAGCCACATAGTCAGGTAGCCATGTAGTCATATAGCCGCATAGCCGTGGGTTAGAAAGTGTGTTTTTAAGTGGCCGGGTATTCTGAAGTTACTCTGCATACCCACTGGGAGCATGATGGCAACATTGCAATGGTTATGCCAAAATCATAGGCGAAACCAAGAAGTCTGCCTTTCCATAAGGTCTCCATTCTGTGATAACGCCATAATGTCATTGATTTACAGCAAGGCGACTAACATCATACCTGTAGATTTTATTGTTGTGGAGGTAGCCAATCTTTAAATGGAGTTAGACTATGCCACATTCTCGTACCCAGAGCCCGTCTTACACGCGATCAACAGAGCATGACAAGGGTAGCAGGTACAACATGGCGAAAAGTTTTTTTAAAAAATACACAGCTCGTGAGCCCATACCTGTAGATTTTATTGTTGTGAAGGTAGCCAATCTTTAAATGGAGCTAGACTATACCACATTCTCGTACCCAGAGCCCGTCTTACACGCGATCAACAGAGCATGACAAGGGTAGCAGGTACGATCGGCAGTTGCGCTGCATTTGCCGCAACTGCAGATCAAAATTTAGCCTCTGAACGACAACACAATGCCAAGTGTGCCAAGTATAGAAGTGCATTCTGAGAGTGCATTCTTGCATTTATTCTAGTTAGACAGTAACTTCGGGCTTAGATAACAAGCTCCAAATGATTTTTGGAATTAGCAACACAGCAAGTAACTTCAAGCTTTATACATACCTAGCGGCTAGGCTGGCTTGCCTCGCTACACAATACTTTTTGGAGTTAGACAGTAACTCAAGGCTTAGGTACCTAGTTTTTTCATGATTTTTGGAGTTATTCTTAGCTCCAAATGATTTTTGGAGTTAGCCAGTAACTCCAGGCTTAGATGCTTAGCACCTAAATGATGCTTAGCTCAGTTAGCTGCCAAATTTGGAGTTATACCTAGCTCCAAACGATTTTTGGAGTTTGCCAGTAACTCCACAATTCATATTTCAACTCATACGTTTTGAATTACACAAGTTATTCAAGTGTATATTTTGGTTTGGAGTTGGCCCTTTAGACTTTGGAGGTAGCATCGCTCCATAACTTCCTACTTTCTACAGGCATGACTAACGTTGATATCAACACTTTGACATCACTATCAATATTATGACAAAACTCCATATTTGGTCAGCTACATATTATTACGGATCTCACCAAACTATGGTATCGTATTAACACCCACATAATTTTGAAATGTTTACAATTCTAATTTTAAACCGCAAGTCAAAGGTTTATAGCAATTGTTACCAGGAACTGGATTGGCTGTTTAAAATTAGAATTGCAAACTTGCAAAAATATGTAGGAGTGGCCACAGACGTTTGAGGGTGTGACGGTGATATGAATTTTTGCTGCAATGCCATAGTTCGGTGAGATCTGTAACACAGAGTAGATAAGACATACAGAGACGTAACTGACTGTTGTAAACACTGCGGAAGATTACGTTATCATGTACCCACTTTTTTTCAGGCGACCGGGCGAAAAATGATCAACTGCGCGTGCTCAGCAAGTTTAAAGTGAGTCGTCATCAGGTCGTCATCCAATCAGATGCATGCATCTAGTAACTTGCCGAGCATGCGCACAAAAAAAGTGGGTACACTAGTTACGTCTCTGTATGTCTCTACTCTGTGTCCGTAATAAGTTGATATGACGGTTTCACTCTTGGCTGTTAGCCAATAAGAAACCATGAATTATTTCAAATATAGAAGGAATGTGTTCATGTATACGTGTACCTCGCAGCCTGGCTTCGAATCTCTTCAACTGGTCTCCCTGTCTTTCTATAACAGCTAGCAATTCTTTTTTACTTTGTTTCTCCATTACAAGAAAATTTACTACAGAACTCTTAGCTGAATGCCTTTATATCGACATCTTTCAGCACATGAACAGCATACAAAAATAAAATAAACCATAACTATGTTAGAAGTCTTTTAAAACTAGTGATTTTATTACAATATAAACAAAGACACGTTTCTGCGTCTGCGGTATGTGTTGACTTGTGAACTTCATGTAAAGAATAATGTTCGAACCAGTGAACGTAGATAAAACGCGGACGCGGACGACGGACGGCGGAGTATTTTATAAACACATAATTACTGGCGTTTACATCTGTAAAATGAATATGTTTTCACCCGTTCGAATCCTTAGCAATGATATTTTTTAATCAGCATTCAATACGTATATATGAGGCATATGAGGCTATATACTCCATCTTTCTTGGGAAACTTTTCAAAATATTGTAAAAAAATCGCCTTAGTTTTGGTGCTTCTGTATATAACTGCCCTAACACTGGCACTAAGTCAATAGGCGACGCTATTAAATATAAAGGCCCTGGCAACGCAACCTTGCAAGCCAGGGTTTTGAGAGGTTCACACCAGGGACTACTATTCTACATATGGATTTTAGAAATATTATATATTAGAAAATGACATTAAGTGCTATCACAGTATACAATGACAACGCTGTCTTTTTTTGGTTTTTGGAATTCGGTTACATTCTTTTGTTGTGCTTGCAACGAAAAAGCAATGCAATTGTCCGCCGTCCGCGTCCGCGTTTTATCTACACCTGAGTTTTTGTTTATGATAATTTGTAGCAAAATGGATACATGTTTTGTTAGATTCATTGCATAAAAGGTGCGAAATTTAAATTTCATCACGGTATTTGCCAATAAATTGGCAACCGCTACAGAAAAACAGAACAAATTACAGTAAACCACAACTGACTACAGAACCGAAGTGGAACACTCTTTGTATATTTTGAATGTATATTATTTGGTGTCCTTATATGAAGTATTGACTGGCGGAAAACTCTTGAAATCCACCCAAATCCTTCTGTGATCCCCTGATATGGACGTGCTTGCCATGTTGTGTATGATCTATTATTAAAACACTCCTTGTATTCTTACATTCCGAAAGATTTCGGGCTGACTTCTTTAAACCGCCGCTTCAGATCTCTTGGTATTAACCAGTACGAACTAACGATGGGGGAAGAGTTACTATGGGGTGTTAAAAATGGCGATTTAGACAAAGTTCGTGAACTTGTCGAAAAAAAGGTTAGTACGTTCTTCTGTTCGAGGAAACAGATGGCTGCTTTTTTGTACACAGCTTGATTAGACCTAGGGATTTATTAATTAATATTGCTATAAAAAGCATCAGATGATCTCGCTGTTTTATGCTATTGTGTTTATATTGATTGATGATTTTACTGATAATTGATTTTACTAATAATCAGAAATATTTTAAACTCGATAACATGGGCTATCTATTCCAAATGTAGGTACTTATTTAAAATATAACTTTACTGTAAATGGTCTGACTATGCAAAACTGATCTTAATATAAAATAGTTTGGAAAGTATTTGTTGAAAGTTATTGGACCTTGTTTGGGTTTATTCTGACAGTATAACGAATAGAATAGTAACATGATACACGCATGCAAATTGTGACAATGAAGAAAGCAGAAAACTGTAGCAAGACTATGGAATTTTTTGTTTCTAATATTGTCACTCAGGTGCAATCTAGTTTGTGATGTTGCCTCCGAGATCCCGTTTACACAGTATCGGAGGGATTTGGAACCAGGCTGAAATTCGTCCTTTTTGGCCTTCCGTTTACACCCTAACAGGACGAATTTGCGTGTAAACAGGCGAAAAAGGATGAATTTCAGCCCAGTCCCAAGTTCGTCTGGTACCATGTAAACAGGGTCTTAGTGTGTCCGGACCGACGGAGCAAGCTGAAAAGTTTGCTTGACCATGGTGGGAATTGAACCATCACCGAAACAAAAATTCAAGATTGTAAAAACACACTGATATCAAGGGAACTAGACTGAGTTCCAAAATATCACCCACTTGAACGGACTTGACCTCGGAGCTCAGTTGGTAGTGCATTGGTCTAGCAAACCAAAGGTCACAAGTTCAATACCCACAGCGGTCAAGCAAACTTTTCAGCTTGCCATTAAACTATCAAAGCAGCATGTCGACACTTCTTGTTTGATGAGACACATATATGCACGATCACAGAGTTCAATATAATTCTGAAAATTTGGTCTGACAATATATCGGACCAACCCATGTTTTGGTCAAACATCATCGGACATTAATGATTTGTCTGCAGAACTAAATACTAGAAAGCTTTACAAAGGCATTGTACTGCTGTGATTTTGCAGAATCAACTAAAAATTGTGGAATTTGTAAAGTTCAGTGTTCACAGAAGTTGTGATTAACAAGTTGTTCTTTTCAAATTTACAACCTGAATTCATGACAAATTTTGATACTTTACAATGTTTGAAATACTTCTGATAAGCCCTACATTCTCTGCAGGCTCTAATTTTGGCACATATCAGCAATCGACTTGTCCCCAGTGGTCTCTGTGAACACACAAGCCAGCACAGTCGTGGAAGGGAAGGAAGAAACAAAATCTCCCCAGGGCCGTGCCACCTGGGGGGGGGGGGTGTAACACCCCCAAAAGAGTAAAAACGGGGACCCAACTTGTGGGGAGGGGGCCTTGGCATGCTGGAATTGCAAAATTTGTAAATAACATCAACCCACGGGGGCCCTGGAATGGAAGCGGGCCCAAATTTTGGAATACACCCCCCAACCAGAAACCGGTTGGCACAGCCTTGAGTCTCCCTCGTTTCTCCCTTCCACCCCTGCGAGTGCTCTCCAATTTGTCACCTGCACGTGTTCACGGAGACCACTGGGGACATGTTCATCTTGTGCCTCCAAACTTCAGTTTCTTTCTTTGGTCAAAATTTTCTGGTATTATTTTCTGATTTACTGATATTTCCTCAAAATCACAATCTTGCAATTACTCTTTTTTCTGAAGTGGATTTTTTTATAAATAGCATAGAGAGGACTGCATTTTTTGTAAATTCCCTGACATTCCCTAAATTTCCATGTAGGTCTTATCATGAATTTCCTTAATTTGTCAGGATTTCCTGCAATTCAGGAAATTTCCTTACATGTGGAAACACTGTTAATTGTTAAATAACAGTGTAGTATATAACTTTATAAGACTGAGTGTGTTTAAACATCAAAACACACTAAATACTGCAAAACAATGTAATTGCCTTTATTTAATACTGTGCATTATATTGAGCATTTGTTTAATCACTACACATTCATATGGAAAAAAATTTTCCTTTGCAATAGACAACTTGCATGTTAGACAAATTTTTGATCTAGACAAAAAAAGTAAATTCCAATAACGAACTTGTTAAAATTAGTAACATTGCAAAACTTGGTTACAAAATGTTGTAAAATACGGAAAATATAGCCTTGCGAAGTTTGCATATTTTGTATAATGTTTGTTTAAAGTTTTATGTGCGGAAATTGTTACCATTTTTGATCCGAAAATGGTAACAATTTCCGCACGTAATACAAACATATACAAAATTTGCAAACTTTGCAAGCTTTACAACATTTCGCAACCAAATTGTGCAATTTTGCTAATTTCATTATGTCCGTTTTAGCTGTGCTGTTTGATTCCCTTCTCTTTACTTAGATTAAAATTTAGTCTAACATGCAAATTGTTTATTACAGTAGTTTTGCAAGAATGAGGGGAACAGTTGTTCAAATCAACACAGCGAGGTGGTTGGCCGTAATGCCATGCGGAGCAATCAGCAGACGGCCACATCAGTATTTTGCTTTTTCGGATGGCCAACTGTTATATTGAACTTTGAACATGGCCTGTAAAAGTGATGAATACTGTATGTAATGTCCAGCCTCCTGGCATTAGAATATTTCAGAATATTGCTTCAAAGCAATCTCTCTACATGTACTGTAGGCACGGTCTTAGCTAGAGGGCCGTGTTGGCCGTGTTATCGCGGCCGAAAGTGGAAAAACACGGCTAGATAAAATGAACGCGGCTTCATTATTTATATAAGGCCGTGTAGTTTCATAAAATAAGGTGTTGCTACTTACAACAGACATAATTTCTTCCTATTTACGTCGTAAGAAAGTTTGTAAAATCTACTGTTGTTGTTGAATTGGCAAAAGTGATTCGTGATGTTTTGATGGATAATGGAAACTGTATGGTGTTAAAATGAAATAACTTAATATTTTAATGTCAGTGCGCAATCTGAGTGTATGCTCGCCTTGTATTTGGTTGCAAAGCGTAGAACAACCACAAGCATTATTGTTGGCGAGCACAACTAGAACCGCGATTTTGCTATTCAAGGTAATTGACATGTACACGCCCTGGTCATTAGAAACACGTCCAAGATCTAAAATCCTAGCTAAGACCCTGAGTCTGTAGGTACGGCCAGTAAACACCGAATCTGTAGTTTGACATTTATAGGGGGAGCGGGTGTAGCTTAGATTGGTTTCCTTCAAACACGTTGGCACACTCTATGGCCAAGGTCAGAAATTTAGTTTTCATTATAATTCAAGCTCCAGTTATAATAACATCCTCCCCTAGCCAACTCTAATGTTGGCCTTTGTCCACCTATTTTTGCCAATGCGTAGTCAACTGTTTGGAATGTGTTAAGAAAAGGAGGCCGTGTTTACACTATAACGCTACGGCTAGCATTCCGTTAAAAATTCACTACGTTTCATTTGCTTATTACCTGCCTCCCTATAGTATGTATCTACGAAAACTCACTTTTATCGTTCGGTAAAAACTTACAAGACTCGAATCATGTCTATTAATTTAATGATGTATTCTTGGACTGTCTGTGCCAGTGTAGGTGGTGGCAATAATACAGTATGAACAAGCTTTCGTTGGCATAGGGATGCTGGAACTATACCTGAAAAATATAAGGAGAATTTCGACGTTTTGAGCGAAGGGCCTGAGCCTGAGGAAACGATAAATTTCATGTTTCCAATTCTTGTGCTTTACTGTCGCTGTCTAGATCACCTTCTTTACAGGGATGGATCCAGCATGGTCTGGTAGGAGGGGTGCTCCGCCAAAAAAAATTTTCGGAAAGCAACAACCTCCCCCCCCCCCATCGACAACTTTTTAGGGAAAAAATTTTTCTGGACGAGTACGTTGCAATTGCTTTCCAGTGACTTTACACATCCATCAACTTGCTTAACCACTGCAAAGTCTAGCTACAGTATTTGAATTGTAATTGTTGTTCACAGTTCGCTTATCATCATGTTATTACTCAAATTACTGAATCTCATTTTGTCTCTGATAATTTTTTGCTTTATCATGAAAAATAGCACACCCCCCTGCACCCCTCCTGCCCAGGGCTAGGGGGGTGTGCACCCCCTTGCACCCCCCCAGTAAATCCATCCCTGCTTCTTTATCATCCTCACGAATCGCTTGACTTCGCAGGCCTTAAAATATCTTTTACAGGGCCGTCGGACAAAATGTCCGATGACTTTGAGTTTGGGTCGGGCATATGTATGATGATGTCCGATGACCTTCAATTCAGTTTGGCTCGGAAATAAGTCTGAATGACGCAAATATCAGCACAATATATTAATTCAGAACTAAATGTTGTGAAGATATTAAATAATTTGTGTCATTCATACTTATTTCGAAGCCAAGATTTACGTGCGTGGAGAAAGCGTCGAACAATGCTACAGTTCGGTCGGACACCAATTCACTTGGGTCGGACAAAGAATAAACATCACTTTCACTTAGGTCGGACAGAATGTCCGGTGGTTTCCTCCCTACGTCGGACAATTTGACGAATGGGTCGGACAATGTCCGTGATCGACCGATATTTTAAGGCCTGACTTCGCCATTCGCTTTTGGCCATCATCGCTGAGTTATCTTTCGGTGCTTGAAACGGAGAACTTGTAGGAACTGGAACTCATGGCTTGAAAGTTTACTACATCTGGTGTGCCAAATTCAGAGAATTCTGCTTGGGATTTTGACATTTCCATGGCTTTATCGGCGTCTAGTAGCTTAGTTAAGCTCTGTAAGATCCACGTTTTGAAGTGTTTTCATGCAAAGTTTGTGTGATATATAGCAGTTCTATCCAATTTGGTTTTTAACATAAACTCGTTGTCTGTGAAAAGCTGAAATCTTGATTAGGTGACATGTCTAGACAAGAGGACACGTATTCCTCGTACTCTTGGTGCTTCTTGGGTGTGAAATAGTTTGGTAACGCCGTAGTTGCCTTTTCGAACAGTTCTTCGTCCTCTCCAGCCTCGGTGTTGTGTAACGTTTCGAATATTTCGTTCACACAAAGCTCTTTATATGGTATATATCTGACCTCAACGTCCACGATGTCTCTTTTGTCACCCATAACCGTTCTCGTCTCACTTTCAACCCAAACCTGGTGCTCAAGACTCCCTTTTGTAAAACTACGACCTATCAGAACTCATACTTCAACAGAATAGTAAAATCATGAAACAATGTTTGTAAAGTAGCTCCACCAAATACTTTCTCTAGCGTTCGAACATTTAAACATTACCTTCATAATTTGTATTCTATGTTAGTTTCTACTCTATTCGATGTAAACTTGGCATGTACTACTTGGCCCATATCACGTGATTGTTCTTATCACAGGAGTTGACTATCTCATTGTATGAACTCGCTTTTTGTATTTAAATCGTGAACTGTTTGTTGTCAATCCTATACAGGGTGTATAAAAAAAGGTAATCGAACTTCAGCGCGCTATTGTATCTGAATTACTCTGCGTTACTGCGTGTGAACGAGATTTTTCATATTCGGAAAGATCATGCTTTTAGCTGTTGAATGATATGTTCTTCACGCCAAATGGATAAAAAATGAGCAAATACGAATCCGATAAAAAATGTTAGTCAGAATCGAATATCTTCACCGTTGAGAGTTGGGTCTAAAACCATTGAAAATTACCCCCTTTGGGACTTAAGTTGATGAAAATTCACTTCAATAAACGACGCACATATTCATAATTATTATTAAGTGGGAATAAATCTTGGCTAAGCTACTAAAAGTTTGTGATTAATTGCTTTTTCGTTTGTTATGCACTGCTTTAATTAGGCACAGAGGTGAAAATATGCGATTCTGACTAACATTTTTTATCGGACTCGTACTTGCTTGTTTTTTCTCCCCTTGACATGAAAAACATGTCATTCAATAGCTAAAAGCCTTATCTTTTCGAATATGAAAACAACTTGTTCATACACCGAGTAATTCACGTACAATAGCGCGCTGAAGTTCGATTACCTTTTTTTCATACACTGTGTATTTGTATATATCTTGTTGGAGAGATGCCTTGCATGGGCAGTGTAGTATATTTATAGTACTTACCGTTCGCACCTCTTCCATTTGGGTAAGTATCTTCTGTGTATAGATGTTCGGTTTTGTTTACCCAATAAAGTGTAAAGTACATACTTTCTCCAGCATAGTGCAGTAATGAACTCTTTTTGTGTCGTCTACATCTAATGCTAGCAGAAGATTTTTAAACCGAGTGAGCCATTTTTTCCAATGAATGCTGCACTGTAAAAACATTGGTTAAAACATCCAATAAATCAATTGGTTATCTCGGATTTGTTGCAGGGTGTTTTAACCAATTTGTCCCCATAGTGTGACTGGGTGCGTCCGAATGAACATCAAACTCAGCAAACTGCTGTAGAGCTACTGCCATGTTCTACGATTTTTCTTGATTATATTCAGCGATTGTTCATGTTCCATCACCAAAATCTCCTGTGGGGGCTTGGATCCATCCCCTCGTCAATAATACAATAAATGTAGTTATTTATGGCTTTCATAGCTTTTTACGTTCTCATTTTAGGGATGCAATGTAAATGGTGAATTGATGAATGGTAGAAATCCTATTCATTTTGCTGCTGATTATGGTCAACGTGAAGTGATTGATTATCTCGTCAACCAGGGTGCAGATATGAACGTAAGGCTTTTCTTACACTATACAATGTAGAGCAGTTGAAATATTGCCGCTCCAAATGTTTTCACATCTGTCCGTTGTGTATGTGTTTATTTGTTAGCAAGGTCAACAACTATCAGTCTAATAAAAACATTAACTATAAAGTCTACTTACAGTCAGATGTATACAAACATTTGTAGTGGGCTGTATTCGACTCTAAAATCGTATAATAAGTATTTCTATTTGAAGAAATTAACTTGCAGAGAGTTTGTAACCGAAGATTTATCATTCCCAACATCGAAGGCTAACAGCAAAACCAAATCAGGGTGCTATAATTCATGTTTTTTATAGTCATATAAGTTTTATATTTACAATAATCATGTATGATTGATACTCTAATGACAAGTTTGTAACAGCTTTAAATACTACCAACTATAAATAAAGACTCACGGAATACTTACTCTTTGAAATGATATACTGTACATAAAGTGCATATTTCTGAATGGTATTCATTCAGTAACCTGAAACTACGAGTTAGAACGAGGTGGATTTGCATACACAAACACTACAATGGACTCGTACATTCCTTTGTCTCATCAGTCCAGTCATGTTTCATGCCAAGACATGTCAGAGGTTCCTATATACCTTTACATATACAGTTTGCAATACCTTGGGCTTGGTAAGGTCATATAATACCAGCAAAATGTAAGTACCCAGACGGTAGTACTTGGTTGAGAACAAAGAAATACCAGACCCCACCCTGGTAACATTTGGGCAACAAAACATGGTTAGGTGTGTTGTTTTGTCAATGATTCGTCTAACCTTGGGGACATTTGTAATTTGTAAGCCTGTGCCCTGCCAAAAATGACAACTATTAGACACAAAAAATTGTGATCGGGCTGAAAGATTTCCCTCATTGTAATAATGTGCAATGAAAGTAAAAATATGCAAACTAATGACGTGGAAATAATGTAATAAAGTCTCGACTGAGCCCGCAATTAACCATTAAGATCAAATTTTCTCATTTTAAATAGATGGTGTTCCAATGTTATATATGAAAACAGTTGATTTAGTTTGATTTATTTGCAGGTGCCAGATAAACATGGAATAACACCATTGCTTGCTGCAATATACGAAGGCCACTTAGAGTGTGTGAAATTGCTGTTAGCAAAGGTAATTACTATTAATATTATAACTCAAATTCTACAATGATAAAACGGCGTTGTACCATTTGACGAGGCGATTTTTACAATATTCTATCCCAGTTCTCAATCTCCGAGTGTGAAGTGCAACATTTTGCCCCCAAGCACAGGAAATTTGCAATAGTATCAAGTGTACAAGTTTCAAGTGCGACTTACACCAAATACGATTTTTGGTTTGTGTCATATTTGGCTTATTCTAAGAAGAAATGTAGTACATCACCATTGTAAGAAATCTCGTCTTGATCAACCTTATCACTGTTAAAGTTTCCAGATACAATCTCATAAGTTGAATTTTTGCTGCCATCCATTCTACTCTATAGGAATGGCTAATTCCTTTAGAGGCAACATAAAATGTCTTACTACATAATAACCTTGTCATTTTCTCTCCCCCATATTGAATACCAGATAGACAACAACAACATATTTACATTTTGCCGACTTATACGAATAAGAATCGATTAATTTTCTCCAGAAAGGCTGCCATGACGTCAAGCGCAAACCAAGAATAAACGACAAGATTGACATGAAACTATAGAAATTACATTCATACATCTCTCGGGCAACAATTATCTCTGGTACTAGCAAACTTTATTTAAGTCTGTTTATTTTTCAGGGTGCTAAAAAAGACGGCAAATCTCCCACCGGTGAGTCGTACAAAGACGCCGCAGAAACGCAAGAAATGAAAGATCTGCTGTAAAATACTGAGTTCAGCAGAATTAGAAATAGAGTACGATGGTAGTAATATAATCTTTTAATTTGCCTTTTGTAAGTATAGTTTACAAAATTGAAATTTACAAGTGCATGTATTTTGAACATGAGGAAAACCTGTTCGCAAAAAGAAAAGGGAGCAACAAACTCAGCTAAAGTCAGCTTCGTATGTTACAATTAGTGAGAGGCATGAGAATATGTCACCACATATGCAGTCGAAAGCCGCTTAAAAGAACCATGACTTCAGATTATAGTGGGTCCATACAGGGTGTATAAAAAAGTGCGCATGCAGTTCTAAAAATTCCGCAACATTTTTAACTTTATGTTAATATGGGTAGTTTGGGGTCTTCTGGTATCTTTATCACAAAATTATTCCGAAAAATAAATTTTCGAATGCAGCAGGGCTGTTTTGCAAAACCACTTTAAAAATGGCTTGCGCACAAAAATGGTAGGTTTGAAACGCAATTACAATTCATAGGGTACAAATGTAGAAGGTATTTTATGAACTATCAAAGTACCAGATAATTTGATGTACATTACGTCAAACGCGCGACCTCTAAAACGTGGACATTTGCCACAGTGACCTTTCAAGAGAATGTAAGAAATCAAGTAAAATCATTCATGCGTGTGATAAATAAAGCTGCTATGGCAAAAGTCCACGTTTTAGAGGTCCCGGGTACGACTTAATGTACATCAATTCAAATTATCTGGTACTCTAGTAGTTCATAAAATACCTTCTAAATTTGCACCCAATGGATTCAATTTTTTGTATACACCCTGTAATAATTTTGGGTATTTAGTAAGAAATTAGGCCATGGTGGTTATTAAATGTTTCTTATTTTCTAGTTAGAAACAATCATAGATATCTTATATACACTAGATAGCGCATCTCCTTTAGTAAAATTGAAGCCAAGAATATTCCAGCGGTTACCCCCAATTGAATAGATGGCGGCCATGTTGGAGTTTCCCACTCGCTAATAAACGCTTAAAAAACAACAATAACTTTCATCATTTGAATAGTTTAAAAATTTTAATGGAATAAGTTTAACTTAATGTTTAAGTTCCCTGTTTAAGAAATAGAAAACATACGAATCTTCTCATTTCATGGGAATACCCTGAGCCTGCAATCACGGCTTCAATTTTTGAATTGCAGAATAATTAGATGCACTATCTAGTGTATATAAGATATCTATGGAAACAATTGACGTTTTTTATTCACTAATACTAGTTGACTGCGTCCTAATTTGATAAAGTGAATTCATTGTTGATTATGAACAACCAACATGTGCAATATTAAAATAAGTTCTTGCCGGAATATTCATGCTTTCGCTGCAGCAAAAGGGCGAAAGTTAATATCATGCGGTTCTTAGTCCACTGGTTCTTTTATGCGGGTTTTATTTTGATTAAATAGTGATGGATCAATACACCATGCATCTAACTATCCTAGTTCGAAAATTGTACAAACTACAGAAATATGCGGAGGTCATATACCTTTTACCCTTGTCACGGATCGCTTTGTGGATGGATAATAGAGAGGTTAAGATACCCCGATTCCGGTTTACGGGTACGGGTGATATACACGTACCCGTACCCGTAAATCGGGGAATAACTTGTAACTTAAGAAATCCAAGATACTCCGGCGTGAGAAAACCGATCAAAGAATGGCAACTTTCGCTGTTGAGGTTCGTCGTAAATTGTTGAAAACTTTGACCAGCATATGTGCATTATTTATTGGGGTAAGATGCTGAAAATTTGTACTATTTAAACGGCCCAAAAATAGTAAACAGAAACCACCCGTACCCGTTTGTCGTTTACGTGTAGACCCCGGTTTACCGCGGGGAAACGGGTAGAAATTACGGGTAAAATTGCTGACATCAGCAAAAATTGGTAAACAAAATGGCGATACTCGTACCCGTAAACCGGAACCGGGGTATCTTAACCTCTCTATTATTAAATTTATATTACGTGTTGCATATCAGTGGGAGAGCAATTAAAAACCATGAAAATATTGAAGACTGTGTGATGTTCTAAGTTCCGTAACATGTCGTGTATACCACTAGCCTGGCTAGTATACCGACTACGTAACCGAGATTAATTAACAATTATTGGACTTGAAAACACGCAGAATAAATAACGTTCTCGCGATGAGTGCGACTTTAGCTTTGATGATGAAATCGTGGTTCATCTGTCGACAAACAGTTAAGCCGGTTTTCCACTTCAACCGTAGCATTTTCTTTTGTGTCGAAGTCATTCGTTCCATTCTAATGCTCAGGAAACAAAGAAATACTCTACGCTTCGCTACGGTACGGTTGAAGTGGAAAACCGGCTTTATGCAGACATCAAAGGCACCAACAAGGAGTCGGACCTCTGTATATGTACTCTGTTATGTTGGATTCCTCTGCCTCCCGTCCCCCTCCCCTCTCCGACCACTACCCTATACCTTTCAAAAAATCAATTTTCAAGGCAGAGTTTGTGAAAACATGAAAAGTTGAATAGAAATAGTGAATCGCTGTGGAAAAGTTTTGTAGATGGAAATCTCGAGTGTGAATTTTATTGATGACTGAATGGACCTATTACCTAATGAACAAAATTTGATCCAGACAAGTCTAGACAAAAATTTTATCACGGCTTGAAAGAGCATCACCTGAGTGACACAATTAGTAATATCCCGACGTTTCGTTGCGAAATGTTGTAAAATGCGGATAATATAGCCCTGCGAAGTTTGCCGTTTTTCAGTCATTTTGTATTACGCACGGCAAATTGATACCTTTTTTCAGAAAGCGGTATCAATTTCTCGTGTACTAATTTTGTGATGCTCTTTCAAGCTGTGGTGAAATGTTTGTCTAGACTTGTCTAGATCAAAATTTTGTTCATTAGGGACGGACCATTTGATTTTTCATGGGGGGGGGGGCGCAAATCCGAAAAAAAATATCGAGCATGTCTCGAATGGAAGAAAAAAAAATCGAACATCACTAACACCAGCAAAAAAAAATATCGAGCACAAAAAAATTCTAAATTAGCAATACTCTATATTGAAAGAAAAATTCAGTTTCCCTTAGTTTTTTTTTCTGTTGAGTGTTTCGGTTCTGCCTTGGTTAACAATACCGAAAGTATACATGCAAAATACAAACCGATACAAACCAGTTCTGACAAATTTGACTTCAATAATTCAATTATCCGCAAATTACCTTAATGGTATCCCTAAAAACCCCAATCTTAACACTGAAAGTCCCACACTTCTGTAAATACGACATCGATTAATGAGGGTGGGAAAGGGGGGGAGGGGTATGATTCACGTTTCACAACAAAAAAAAAGTTTCACAATTCACGTGCCATAAAAAAGCAATTTCACATTTCACGGATAACGAGACTCTAATAAAAATAATATAATAATAATAGCTTTAAGATTATGTTTAATGCATGGTACAGTACTACGCTTTAAGTTCTCTTCTCTGCCTGGCAGTTAAAAACTACTTACAAGTTTGAGTGATGAGTACGTCCGACGACCTCCGAAAGGCCTCCGAAGTTTCTACTCTTGTGCAATCGAGTGAGATCGATCATATAAATTATTATCGCGTATTATGTCCATTATCACTATTATAAAATAGATCGGAATAAACAAATCAAAATCACAGTTCACGAAACAGACATCCTTAATTCCCATTTCACGGAACATTTTTATCGACAATCACGCCTCACGGCTGTAGAACAAATCACAGATCATGACAGTAAAATCAAGCATTTCACACGATCAAATATTGACCATTCACGCAGTGGCGTAGACAAGGGGGGGGGGGGCTCAGCCCCCCCTCTTCCCAATAGGCTGAAGGACTGCCCTTGTAAAAAGATGAAATCCGGGTAGAAATTAGGGGGGGGGGACGATGACTACCCATGTGACTACCAATCTCATCTGTTCACCAAATTGTCTATAAAAGTCAGGGACGCCGGAACTGGGGGGCAGGGGGGGTGGCTGCCCCCCTTGCCTTTTGCTAGGGGGGGCAGGGGGGGGGCAGAAGTGCCCTTTTAGTTGTAAAATAATATGTGATAAATCACATTTCCAACGATGCTTTTTGTAGGAAAATCACGAGATTCAGGTAATTTATAGTTTATATTTATAAAAATTTTGGGAAATTTTTGGAATTTAGAAAAATATTTTGAAGAAATGGCGAAAATTTAAGATATCCGGAAAAATTTTTGGCTTCACGGAAAATTTTTGTATGTCCGGCAAAATTTTTTGACCCCTAAAATGGTATACTGACCGAAATTTTTTTGGCGACGGGGGAGGGGTGGGGGAGGTCGCCAAAAAAATTTTGCAGTGAAAAAAAATTTTTCAGTAAAGGTGCCCTTGGTGTGCGTCCGCCCCCCTTTGCCCTATTATCGTTCCGGCGTCCCTGATAAAAGTTCTAATCTTTCCTAAATCTAACTACAGAAAATAATGCCTATGGTGGTTATTGGTTAAAATGCGTTTTAAAACTTCGATTTAACTATTCACACGCGACCAAGTAAGCTTCGTTGAGTCAAATTAAGGATCCACATTATTGAGAAATCATTAAAAATCAGGTCTTTCCTGCAGTAAATAATCTTCAGAATTATACAAAATCTCTCCCCAGAAACACGGGAAATCGCCATTGAGGGACTCCAGATTTCAAAATTTTCCCGGGGGAGAATGCCCCCGGACCCGCCTAAAAAGGCTTACGGCTTCGCCGTTCGATATATGTCCTCCCAAAAATTATAGTTTGGCTACGCCACTGCATTCACGGGTCACAAAAATACCCTTTCCCACCCGGCTCATTAATATCGCTCTCTGACTCTGAATAAAAATCGCAGTTTATAATACGTATTGGGAACACTGATACGATTGGGAACCGTGAGAATTTGTCAGTAGATGCCATTACGCCAATGCAAAATGGGTTACACACTTTAATACACTTGATCCAATTTTGATTGGGACTATGGTCTACATTTCGTAGACCATAGCCCCGTATAAAATGGGCCAAGTATAAAATTGGCCAAGTATAAAATGGGCTGTGATAGTTATATCATAGAATAGGAAGGTATACCAGAAGTCTCACTCAAGCAAGTATTTGTCCGCGTTTTTACAAGCGATTCGTCCGATCATCAATCACGCCATCCTGGCTAGTACAACCGGCACTTTGTAGCCAGGATGGCGTGAGCGAGTTAAAATTTTCGTGGGTTACACTTCTGCTATACTTTCCTATTTTGTGGTTATATGTTGTATATTCAAATACATTCTTCAGCCGGAATATAACCATACGTGGTTATTATTGAGCACTCTCAAAAATGCGCCCCCCCCCCCATGAAAAATCAAATGGTCCGTCCCTTAGGGAATAGGTCCATTCCCATGACTTAATTAATATGTTAGTATCATCAGCGAACATTGATGCTTGTGTTGTTTCTAAGCAGTTTGGAAAATCGATTATGTACATTAGAAAGAGTAGTGTACCAAGATTAGATCCTTGGGGAATACCGCATGCAGTAATTTTGACATTTAATTCTGATTGGTTAATATTGCGTATTTGTTTTCGTTCATAAAGGTAAGACTGATTTGAACCATTGGAGAGAAATTCCTTGAATTCCGTAGCGTTATAATTTAGCGATAAGTATTTATTTCATGATGATTCACTGTGTCGAAAGCTTTTTTTAGGTCAAAAATTAGAATGCATTTGTCCATGTTGACCAGGCATTGATTTGTGGTGTATAATAAGGACGTTTCGGTAGAGTGCCCTGCTCGAAAGCCGGATTGATTTTTGTTTGTACTAGAAAGTTGTTTATCTGGTCGTAGACTAGCTTTTCGAGAATCTTTGCGACAGCAGATATAACAGATATAGGCCTTAGTGGCCGCAGTCTGTTTTTCTCCCGACTTGTAAATGAGGGTAATTTTGCAGTTTTCATTTCATCTCGAAATATTTCCATATTCAAAGATAAGTTAAAGATATATGCTAGTGAATTAATAATGTTGTTTCCGGCGCTTTTAGTAATTTATTTGAAATTTTGTCAAGTCCTGGTGTTTATATTTTCCTAGATTGCATGTCGAAAATTTTAGAAGGCCATAATGCATTTTTCCAACCGCACTTGAACCGATCTTAGCTTGGAAACCTATTGAGTATTGTCTTTGAAATTAGTATCATTCAGTTCAAATGGATAAACAAAAATTTCTTTTTGAAATTCCTCTCATTTCAATGCTGTTTGTAAAGAAGAGCCGCTTGAACATACACCGGCTATTTCAAAAACACGTCAAGAAACACGAATCAATATATTGGTCGTGAATCAAGCCGGTGTCTGCACAAAAAAATGCAACAGAATGGCACTAATGCCAATAATCAATATCCGTGTGAAGTGAACCGAACAACATGAGAGAAACGTAAATAAAGTTAGACATTTGGTTTTGCCGAGACTTGAATTTCGATAATTGGTTTCAGAGTCCAAAGTCCCAACAATTACATCACAGAACCAGCTTCATTAGCTTCATTAGCTTCGTAGCTTCATTAATGATCTTAAGCCGGTTTTCCACTTGCGAATTTTTCTTTTGTCTTTATCCAATTATTTCCAGTTGAGAGACCAAAGACAAATGAAAAATTCGCTTCGCGTTCTTCGCGCGAAAACATTCGCAAGTGGAAAACCGGCTTTATTCTCTCCAGCTTAAAGTTCGCGGCTCTTTGAAGGTCTGTGGGCTATTAGAGAGTTTTAGATTGACGTATTTTCGCATTTCCCGCTAGCCCGTCAGATTACACGTTCGAAGTAGACGTTTCTACGCGAGGGAGGCTGTTTTCAGGTAGGTAGTTTCCCTCAAGGTTTTCATGCATTTTTTGTTCTTTTTCTCGCGTATACACATGGCAATTATGTTTATTATCACTATGACTTTCAGTTTCTTGCATAAAATAAGGATATGAAACTACTATCTTCGACAGAAATATTGTGTCGAATTCAGTCGATGTCAATAAACAAAATGACGGGCAAAAGCATAGCCCAAACGCATAGCTGATTTACATTGTTTTT